AAGGGAGGCACTATGACCATCGGAGGTCGACCCAGGGAAGGGGGGGAGAGCAGTGTTGTCACACGCGGGATGGAGCATCGTGGAGGCATGCATCCGGCCCTGAATGAATACTCCCTTCCAAGTATCGTGCGTCCATTCGACAACACTGCCCGAAATCTCTTTCGGCCCCGCTCCCACTACTCAACGTCCCAGGTGGGTTCGGAGGTGATTAATCGCTTCCTCTCCCCTTTTGTCTTGCCATCCTGTGGTCGCCGATGCATTTATTTCGACGAGAAGGAACTCTGGTGATGTGACTCAGGCGAGTTGATGTTCATCGCTTTTCATAGACATTAAAATATACTTGCTTAAAAAGCCAAAATAAGGTAGTTTTGAATTTTTTTCCCCCCCATTTGGTATCCTTGCATTTTTTTTTTTGCTCTGCTCTGTCATACAATTTTGTCCAGGGAAAATTGCGGGAGGATATTTTCCCAGATCATTAGCATCTAAGACCCTCTGGATGTGATCACAATCATTGATTACTACATCTGAGAAATACAAATGCAGCTTCAAATTGCACACGTGCTTGGGGCATCCACACAAGAACAGGAATAAGTTAGATTGAAAAAATGAGCATGCAGAAATGATAAATGCAATTGGATTTGGTGTCTCAGCAAGGCAAGAGAGAGAGTGTGCAACCGTGCAACTCATCTTCCACTTCTGGCACATCCGTGCTCAAATGCACAAATTTTAATTGATAGTGGGGAGGAATCCTATCACTATTGGAATGATCCTGTTTCCCTAGAATTCTATTTCAAACGAAAGAAACCAGAATAAGAGCACTTCATATAGCGTCACAAAAATTCCCACAAGAAAAAAATTGCAGGGTCACCAGAAACAGTCAGGCGAAAAAGAGCAGGAATGCAAAGCATGCATCGATACAGAGTCGTTTCACACAGAGCATGCCTGGAATGACATACAATAAGGCATGTCACAGACACAGACTAATCAGCACCAGCAGGAACCACTAAACGAAATTCAAACAAAAACAAAAAATGAAGTGGATGCATGCATGACTGGATGAATACAAGAGAAAAAAACAAGGCAGGTGATGATCTCTGTCTTGGCCGACTGAGACAACTAGACGAAGAGCTGAGAGCAGTGGACAACTCATTCCTCCTCGTCGGCTCCCTGTGGATCTCTTCCCAAGCCTCAAATGTGTGATGTACATCGAGGCTACTTCTCCAAAGAAAAAAAAAATACCAGGTTTTAATTTTCATATGAAACTACATGTCCTGGAGAGGGCATGGGGGCCTCCTGGCTCTGCACTTCTGAGAATGGCAATCGTTTTTTAAATTGGGTGAAAGATTCCTTCAAGTAGTACTGAGATGCATCAAAAGGACTTTAACAAGAAATTCAGCAGCTCAAGACAAAATGCATAAAAAAATAATTACCACGAAACTCAATCACATAGTCAATTTGAATTTGATAGCAAATTGTCACGCGAAGCTCAGATCCTTCCGTCAGATTCCGGATCCCACAGTCCGTACAAATCGCTTCGCCGCTGCTTCCCGAGAGGCATCCGATTCCGAACTTCCTCCAGATAGTCCAGGTCTGTTCCAAGAGTCAAGAAAAATAACTCATGACTGCCAAAGATGAGATGAATCACATGGGGGGATGCTGGACCTGAATCCTTTCCAAGACATCACCAGTTTTTGGCGAGACTAAAATTTTGAGTGGGAATATTCATTTTCAGAAATTGGAGATTCCATTTTCTTCTCCTGGAAATGCATATTATTGACTGTACATATGAGAAGCAAGAAATTTGCATCCTGGGAACAATATCTGGGCTAACTTGAACTGGCTTGCACATTTGACATTTTGACTTCCTACGAGATGCATATCATGCCCAATTAATGCTCCATGGAAAAAATATTGCATTGCATAAGTATGAAACTTCTTTGGCTGATGGGTAGGGCATTCATAACTTGAAAATACATGACACATCTCATAACATGTTGAGGAACTCAATCAAGAGGGTAATCAATGCCACTGTTCATACTGAATTTCCAGTTGTGACTCTCACCAATGTCAACATAGATTATATCCTCTTTCTCTTGGGTGCAGGCAAGAATCTTCCCCCAAGGATCCACAGCCAGAGAATGGCCATAAGCAACATAGGTGGCCTTCTCATCCCTGGCTGGGGACACCATGGCGATGTAGAGCTGGTTGTCGACCGCCCTGGCTCGGGCCAGCAGCTCCCAGTGGGTCGGTCCAGTGGTCATCTCAAAGGCGCTGGGGTAAACCAGCAGATGGCAACCTGAAAAATCATTATCAATCCCAAGACATCAAGACACATGATTACATACATATGTATGCAGTGATTACTTTTCAGTTCTTTAAAAAGTCTTTTTTTTTTTTCCTACGTGAATTCTTAATTCACATCAATTCCCTACTGGGATCCCACAGAAAGCCAAGCAGCATGTTGAGTGAAAAGAGGACCATCCTTTACTTTTGGAGAATCTGAAATGGTGCAAAAGATGTCAGGTTGAGGGACACTGCAAAATTATTCTACCTTGGTGAGCATATAGCTGAGCCATCTCTGCAAAATTGACATCATAGCAGATCCCAAGACCGATCTTGCAATCCAACATGTTGAATGTTGTTAAAGAATTCCCTGGGCTCAGAGTGTCAGATTCTCTGAAGGTGATTTTCCCAGGCACATCAATATCAAACAAGTGCACCTGCAGAGAGGATGATAAAATTAGCTTGAGGAATTTCATGAATGGATGCACAGAGGAATGAAGGAGACTCACTTTTCTATGCTTGGCCACAGGGTGCCCTTTATCATTGAACACAGTGCAGGTATTGAAGAGCTTCTCCCCATCTCGTTCTGGGATTGACCCCCCAATGATATACACTCCATGCTGCTGAGCTGCTTCTGACAGCATCCTTTTGTAAGAAGAAATTCCATTGCAAGTCCAACAACAAACCGAGCAAGAGGAAGGAGTGGGATTGCAACTCACTTAGTTGTCTCCCCTGGAATGCTCTCGGCATATTGGTCGAAGTACTCGGTCCCATACAGTGAGTTGAAGACCTCAGGCAGAGCAATGAGGTCGACTCCAATGCCACATGCCTCATCGATGGCAGCCCGAGCAGCCTCAAGATTGGACCTCTTGTCGGCTCCCACTGCAAGCTGGATCAGTGCCAGGCGGACACCTGCACAGAAAGGGAAGTGAATAAACAAATTAAGATGATGACCAAACCATGAAAGCCCTGTATGGACACAAAGGTGTCTGATGAATCATATTGACACAACATATAGTTTTTCAAAGTGATTTTATATTCTAGCAGAAATTTTTCTATTACAGGCCCAGCATAAGGTTGGATTTCCATGGTTAGTAAATTTCCAAAAATAGCTTTGAATATAGCATGGGCTAGTTTATGAAACACTCCTGGTTTGAGGTTCAGATTGTGTAGAGATGGGACTTTGTTAACAATGAGCAATGACAACACATTTCAGTTGGGTTATCAGTTAACTGCAGGGTACTATAGGGTTAGCTCCAACCTGCCTCAGGTTCTCAGACGGAACCCACCTCGCATGGTCTCACGTCCCAGGAGCAAGTCTAACAGAGATGTGAATTCAGTGATGAAATTCAGCTGCTCTGGAGATGAGAAAAAAATTGGGATTCTGCAGTGATCCAAATTCATATTATTGCAATCCACATGGGTTTCTCACAATGGAAGAGCCAAACCTCAATGCTGTATCTCCAGACCCCATATTGATGCCAAAAAATGAGTTTAATTTTTGGTATTCTTCCACATTTTTGCAAAGTGAGTTTTGGAAACTGTACTCACAGGTGCACAAGTAGGGAAGGCATAACAGGCATGCCAAAGATCTTGGCAACAAAATAGATAAACTGGAATAGTAGCCATACTCCCACAGGTTTCAGATACACATGCAGGGATATTTTGCATTAGCCATGGGATAGGGAGCAGGCTTTTGAGTCTTAACAACTGGATGTCATTGGGCTAGCAGGTCAATGCATAACTAATGTGAGAGGCCACATGAAGAAAACAATAATCCAGTGGGAGCATGGCATCTCATGTGCGGCAGTCCCCAACCGCTCGCAGGGTCCACAGATCCTGGCTGAGAAAAAACACGGGAAAGGTTAGAATGCATACTGCATTGGCTAGATGAGTCTGTGAACGTTTTGATTGTGTATTGGTCGTCCTTTGGGCAGCAAGGGGATTTTTTTGCTAGTAATTACCTTTCAGTGTTTTCTGTACTCATTCAGTAGTAGGTGTCCCATAAAAATACAATAAAAGACTATGGTCTGCTGAAATGCAGGATCATCTAAAATAATGATTAAAAATGTAGCAATGCAAAGTATACATTTATATAACAGCAAAGCAATGTGAAGAAGATCCTCATGCCAACAACAGTGGGGCTAGAAGGAATTTCCAACAGTCTCTATGGCCAGTCATACTGGCAGTTTGTAGAGAACATGAAAAGGGAAAAAATTAATACAGGTATCGATCATTGGGGGCCATAATGCAATAATCTTCATATTGAAACGAGACAACTGGAAGAATTCCAGAGATAAAACAATAAGCCTTTTAGAAATAATAATCCAATGGTCCAAGATCACTTGCAGAAGAAAATGTCAGACCAATTCATCTAGACGATAGACTTGAATGCGATTGCACATTGTTGAAGAAGGAGCTAAGGGCACATGAAACTCAGATCCTCCCATCTGCTCCAGAAGTCCACAGTCCATAGAGATCAGTTCGTCGCTGTTTACGAATCGGGATCTGACTCCGGACTTCCTCCAAATAGTCCACATCTGTAGGAGATATATAATTTCCACAACTTCCTGATAGTTTCACAGCACTGCTAATTACCTTGGTTTAGCATGCTGAGTATTTTTGACATCCCTCAGTTTTATTTAACCCTTTCAGACCTGAATTAAGGCTGCAAATGGAATAATATACTTTTTTGCATTTTTGAGCTTCTCTGTGATTGTAATTGAAATTTTCATGCTTTATAAATAGTTTTCATAATTTGTATAAATTTACCATATCATACCATTTATTATATATTAAACATTTATTTAAATAACTGAAGATTACAAAACTAATGGATGAAAGAAGGCCTTTGACAGAACTGAGCCATGCATAATTGCACCATTTGTAGCATAATATGGAACAAAAAGTCATGAGAATCCTAAGAAATTGCCATAGACACAATATAAATGCAATTTCCATTGGAATGGATGCCAGGTTTGAAAGGGTCAAAGAATCTGATTGATGGTTCAGATTCTCACTTATGTCAGCATAGAGGATATCTTCCTTCTCTTGTGTGCTGGCAAGAATCTTGCCCCAGGGATCCACAGCCAGAGAGTGCCCATATGCGACATAGGTGGCCTTCTCATCCCTGGCTGGAGACACCAAGGCAACATAGATTTGGTTGTCCAGTGCCCTAGCTCGGGCCAATAGCTCCCAGTGGACTGGTCCTGTTGTCATGTTGAATGCACCGGGGTAGACCAGCAAGTGACAACCTGTAAACCATACAATATGTCAGTGTGCAACTACATAGGCCATAGGCATCCAAATTGAGCTGATTGGAATGGGAAATCAGATTTAAAAAAAAAACCAAATCTCTGTTCTGTCTCTACTTATGCCTGGCATGAATAAATCAGGCTATTAAGAAGTGCAGAAAATTAAAAAAAATCAGATGCTGGTGAACTTGAAAAAAACCTAACGTTAACAGGTGAGCTATCAAGCAAGACTAGCATGAAAAATCCAAGTGACTTACCTTGGTGAGCATACAGCTGTGCCATCTCTGCAAATCTCACATCATAGCAGATTCCTAAGCCAACTTTGCAATTTGGCATGTCGAATGTTGTGAGAGAACTTCCTGGACTCAGAGTGTCAGATTCTTTGAAGGTTATTTTCCCAGGCACATCGATATCAAACAAGTGCACCTGTAGTCAGGGTGATTAAACCATGATCAGCTTGAGGAATTGCATGAATGGATGCACAGAGGAATGAGAGACCCACTTTTCTATGCTTGGCCACAAGTTGCCCTTTATCATCAAACACAGTGCATGTATTGAAGAGCTTCCCCCCATCTCGTTCTGGGATTGAGCCCCCTATGATATACACTCCATGCTGCCGAGCTGCTTCCGACAGCATCCTGAATGAAGGGAAACTCTTAGTCTAATGATTCAGTCTACCCAATACCAAAAAAAAGAATCAGGCTTGGCCCACACACTTGGTCGACTCTCCATGGATGTTCTCAGCATAGTTGCTAAAGTATTCATTTCCATATGGAGAGTTGAAGACCTCAGGAAGAGCTACGAGATTCACTCCATTGCTGCAAGCCTTTTGAATAGCAGCTTGCGCACTCTTCAGATTGGCACTCTTGTTTGCTCCAACTGCAAGCTGAATCAGCGCTAGGCGGATACCTGTATCAAAATGGTCATGAAATAAACCACAATGAAAAATAATCAAGGTTACTCTACAATAACAAATATTACTATTGAAGAAAAATGCAAAACACATGTTTCTGGTCATAGTAATAGCTGTTGCTTGCACTGCAAATGCTCAGACAACTTCTGAAAAGAAAGCTTATAGTTTTTAGATGATTAATAGACAAACATCAGTTTTTATATTGACAAGTATTTACTGTTATTTGGCTCTGCGGCTCGTGACTCCCCATCAGTGTCAATAATAGGTCAATAATCTTTTCTTGTGCTATGGAATAAGTTTGATCTCTCGAAAATATTGCTCAATGTTCGATTCGCAATGACACAAAGCTTGTCGAAGTCGGAAAGGATATAAAATTAATTTTTATGTAAAATGTCGAATGGACCCCAACTCAATTTTAGGCTAAAATAATTAGACCTTGGCATTTGATTCTGAAGTTTCGAAAGAAACTCACCACGCATATTTGCTGGAGCAAGACTGGAATTGAGCGGTGAAGAAAGGGACCAGACTGTGTGGAAAGACCTTGCGACTAGGCCTACTTTTCAGTGAACCGATTCCGACTCAACATAAATGCCAACCACATGGGTTCCTCGCGGTCAGGCGAGGTTGGGACTCCGTAACGGATGCCAAACCCTATTACATTCTCTGCGCAAAAAAATCATGTGAATTGCAAAATACGATTTTAAAAATCAAGGCAAAAATTATTTATTAAAGTAATAATAGGACTTTGTTTGAAAGGATTGATTTATTAAGCTTTATAATAAGCGCAAAAGTTCGCTGTAAATCAAACTATTTGGCATCCAGCTCAATATAATGTCGTCACTCTTAACTAAACGAAGTGTGCAACACACCGGTTCATTGAATGTAGGCAGTTTGTCGACCGTGCGTCTGAGCGGAAAGACCCGTCTATGCCTCCTTTATTGGAGTGGCTGGACTTCTTTCCGAAGTATTCATTCCCATTTCTCTTCAAAATGTTATACCATAATGCCAAAGTCTCGGTCAGCTTAGCTCTTTCAGCTTATATTGCACCTTCTTTGATTTGATTATCTTAGTTCCTCGATGATGGATTTATGAGCTTATACCGCGGTCTTCAACACTCCCAAAAGAAAAATATCAAAGGGGTGCGGTCCGGTGAATGGGGTGGAAACTCTAACAGTCCATGGCGTCCAATCCAACGGGATTGGACATGGGCCTTAGAGTACTGACGGACAGGTTGGTAGTATTGCGCAGAGGTCCCATCTTGTCGGTAAGTCGTCATCCCTTTACAGCTGGCGAATTTGTGGGATCATGTGTTCCTGAAACATCTGGAGGTACCTTTCCCATCAAAGAACAAATCATTAATGCTTAAAAGCTAATCACAGTTGACATGTGCTAATGTGTGCCAATCGGTCCAACACAGGTGTCAAGAATGTTTGAATAGTAGTGGATTTTAGTTTGAGCATCTGTGGTGAACTGAGTGTTGATGCTGCTTACTACTGTCTACTGTACTGTATAATTGTACTGTATTGGTCTTAATAATGGTTTAGTAATAAAACAGCCTGAATGGAAAAGTGGGTACTTTTTTTTGGCCACTCTGTATAACAAACTTGACTAGATATGATGCATTTCAATTGAAATATATTGTATTCACTAGCTTTGTCACAGCCTCCAGCATATCTTGTTCAGAAGTTCACAAGAGCACTGTGAGAGAAGATCATGGTCTGCTGCAATGCAGGTTCATCTAATATGGTCATAGAAAAAGCCAGTGAGGCAAAGCATGAATTTATATAACAGCAGTGCAAAGAGGATATCACCTCACACTGAAAGTGGAAGGGCTAGAGAGAGACTTTCCGACATTATTGATGGCCAATCACTTTGGCAGTCTGTATATACACATACTAATATAAAACCAGAACATAAACAGAAAAAAAAAATAAAATACAGGTAATGATCATTGCCAGGTGTAATACAATTTTTTTCACACTCTAAAGCAGTGGTGCACAATTCAAAAGACTGTGAGGGCCACTAGTGACTTTTAATCACATACCGTGAGCCACAGTCTGGCTGACCATAGCTGTAGCCAACAAGACAGGAGTCATACAGTGTTTCTCACTTGACTCAGACATCATCACGGGACGTTGCTCATGCGTGAGTGTCGAAGTCCAGTGAAAAAGTGTCTAACTCAAGCGGGAAGCACTGTAGTAGCACTTACAACACCACCAGTCATGGTGGGCCACAAGCAAGGACCTTGCAGGCTGCATGTGGCCCGTGGGCTGTATGTTGTGCACCCCTGCTCTAAAGGAAGACATTAGGAAGACATTAGGAAGACTATCAAAATGATAGAACATTAAGCCCTTTAAAAAGAATAATCCTGTGGTCAAAGATCACTTGAATAGGAAAATATCAGACCAACTCATTCTAGAAAGACTGGGATTTGATTGCACAATGTTAACCAAGGAGCTATGGACATTATAAATTCAGATTTTTCCATCTGTTCCAGGAGCACAGAGTCCATAGAGATCAGTTCGTCGCTGTTTTCGAATTGGAATCTGATTCCGAATTTCTTCCAAATAGTCCAGATCTGTTGAAGAGAGATTGCTTTCATAAGTATCTTATAGATAAATATGCTAAGTGATTTTATTTAACCTGAGGAATCTTCCAAGATTCCTCTTTTCTTTTATAAATAAACTAATGGTTGAGTTTCTTACTGATGTCAGCATATAGGATATCTTCCTTCTCCTGAGTGCTGACAAGAACCTTTCCCCAAGGATCTGCAGCCAGAGAGTGTCCATAGGTGACATAGGTGGCCTTCTCATCCCTGGCAGGAGCCACCATGGCAACATAGATTTGGTTGTCCAGTGCCCTGGCTCTGGTCAGCAATTCCCAGTGGGCCGGTCCTGTCGTCATGCTGAATGCACCAGGGTAGACCAGCAAGTGACAGCCTGCAAATCATACATCATGTAGGTACATGACTCCACAGGTAATTTAGAATAGATTGGAATTGGTAATAAAAGGATTGATAGAACATTTTAAGTATGTTTCTACTCATGTCTACAGCCATTACTCCAGCAACAACCATCATTTTAGGAAAATAAAAGAATGTTTGAACTGTTAGTCTATATATGCATACCTCCATGTGTTGCAAGCTTTCTCTCCTGCTTTCAAGAAAATAATGCTGAATTATGATATGGGAATTGCTTTCCAACAGGAACAGAGTCTCTCCTTTGAGCCAGATGTGATGTCATCTTATACATAACTGGGTTCATAACAAGTCAAACCATGCAACATACATTCATATACATATGCTGCATGTAGCCATGCTCATTTTAGCTGCAGGGAATGACAGGAATTTGTAATGTATGTCAGCCTATGACCTTCACGCAATGTCCAGTGGAGTGTATCGGTAGAGAGTCAAGGCGGGGAGGAAGCGGAAGGAGTTGAACGTGAAACATCCATTGACATGTAGAGATGCATGGATATGGAGGTGAACCCAGTGTTTAGGGTCAGCCAACCCGTGGAAGGACTCATTACTGCTTAAATGCAGGATCTTCTATTCTCTCTATCTCCTTGAATGTGCCACCCAAACATTATACAGGGAGCCATAATATCATTATGTGAATGGGTACAAAGTCCCTCCAATCCAGCAAGATCTCAGTTAAAGATCCCTCCCTCAACCCCTCACTCCGAGGCGACGGAAGAACAAGAATTCGGGAACTCGATCAATACCGATTTGACCGGTGTACTCGGGCCCTTTTGATCGTGGGTGCTCTAAGACTGGCCACCTTTCTCTTTCAACAACATACAGAGAAAAACGTTGTAGTTAGAGGATCTTTTTGAAGGTCGTGAGTTTTCCCCAGAACTTGTAAGACTTCTTATGGAAGTGAACACCAGTCCATTGTAATTGGAAAGTATTGAAAAGGGGTTGGACCGGTTGTTTTTCTTGCATCGATTTTCAAGGGGGGAAAAGTAATCAGGATTTTGTATTCTGTCATTGGTTTTAATTTGGAGGGCATTTTGAAATGTCAGTTCCAATAACATTTTCTATTGTATTTTTTTTAAATACTGTTCTTTTTGGAAATACATTTTTTTTTGTTTTCTTGAATTATGTCCTAGTTAATCCTGCTTGAATATGAATTGGCCTGGACCTGGTTTCCTGAAAAAGAATTCATTGTAGTGGAATCAGGGCACATTGTTAAGGTAAAGGTTTTATTTTAACTTAATATTTGACAATTTTCATAAATCCAACCCACTGCGCCCCATGCCCATTACAAATTGCAGTAAAAATTTTGGAATTCAACTGGAGGGATTTAGATTTGATGGCCAATTAATTTGGATGCAACTTGAAAGACTTCAAAATCTTTCTGAATCCCTTTGATTCACATTAACTGTTTGACTACCAGAACCCAGATGATCAAATGTACAACTCTGCTTAATTTCTTAATTCCCAAATAATTACCATCACATGCCTTCATGAAAATACCCTGAGTATCAGGCTTTTCAAGTTCACAGGGCAGCCCACACAAATGGCTAAATTTTGTACAGTGATGGGTCCATTGGACCCAACACAATAGTTGCAGGAATAACCTAATTTTTGGTTTTCATTTCCTGAATCTCTTGCATTCATTTTCCATTTTTAAAGACTGTTGGTCTAGGTTAATGATAGTTCAATATTACAGAGGTCTGACTTGGCTTTTCAACAACTAAGAATGGTGAGCATGAATCATGAGCAACACGATTCAACATTTAAGGCCAACCGATTTGTGGATGGCCTGGCCAAGGTGAGTCTCCTAATGAGGTTCCAGCTACTCCAGGACATTTAGAGCTTTGGAAACTGTGCATGCCATTTCTCTTGGTTGACCTCAAATGGTTCATTTCATTACTCAGTCAGGCAGAAAATGCATGCAGAGTACTATGCCAGCATAGCTAAGATGAGGAGTATGCTTTACAGCCATGTCTATAACAAAGGTCTCGTATCTTTCCCTGCTCCAACTGATTTTACCTTGGTGAGCATACAGTTGGGCCATCTCAGCAAATCTCACATCATAGCAGATCCCCAGGCCGACTTTGCAATTTGGCATCTCAAACGTGGTGAGAGAATTCCCTGGGTTCAGAGAGTCTGACTCTCGAAAGGTCATCCTCCCCGGGATGTCAACGTCAAACAAGTGCACCTGCAGACATGGTGATAAAAGCGAAATCAGTTCAAGTATTCACACTGACAGTCTTTTGAATATATCAAACTCACTTTTCTATGTTTAGCCACGAGCTGCCCTTTATCATCAAACACAGTACATGTATTATAGAGCTTCCCCCCATCTCGTTCTGGGATTGACCCCCCAATGATATACACTCCATGCTGCTGAGCTGCTTCTGACAGCATCCTGATGAAAGGAAAAGTCTCAAATTAATGTTTCAGCCAACCCACAACAGTTTGAAGGATCCAGCCCATCCCACGCACTCAGTTGACTCTCCTGGTATGTTCTCGGCATAGTGGTCGAAGTATTCGTTCCCAAATGGAGAGTTGAAGACCTCAGGAAGGGCAATAAGATTTGCTCCATTGCTGCAAGCCTTTTGAATAGCAGCCTGTGCATTCTTCAGATTGGCACTCTTGTCTGCTCCAACTTGAAGCTGAATCAGTGCTAGGTGGATACCTACATCAAAATGATGAAACAAACCAAACTGAAATATAGCAGGGTCATTCCTAAGTACCTAGTGTTGCCATTGCAGAAAAATGAATGAATTTCCGTTGTTTTCTTGACACAATATGAGTTGTTGCTCTAGGTATTAAAAAAAAAAACAAACACAAGATGAACTGCCAGACAGCAGCCATTAATGAAACTGCAAACAAATGTACAGCAAAGGTAACAAATGTGTAATTTTTTTTGACATTGAAGGGAACACCTGATGTAGAACTTATATAAACTTTGCCATAGAAATGTGGAAGTCCTCTGATGTCACACATTGGCTTATCCCAATCCATGTTCAAAGTGATTTACATAGCTCATGAATCATCATGCAGCTCACAAATAAAAAAAGCTTTACATCTCTTGAAATCAACAATACACCATTCAATTAATTGATTAAGAACTGGCCCTGTCCACCGAACTCCTAAACAATTTTCATATGAATGAACATATTGGGTTGCTATTGAGTCCAACAGCCAGTTTTCATTAATTTATTAATACGAGTTCATAATCAATCCATATCGTGACCATATCTGGGCGTCCACATCCATATTCAGTGCCAGAGTCATCAGTTCACCATCCTCCACCTTAATAATGGTCAAGAATTCTGGCTTCAACATTTGACCTTGAAATCTGTTTCGAATGAAACTGACCTGGCATATTCCCTGGAGCAAGTTTAGACGATAATAAAATGGAATGATGTGGAAAGCAACCAGACAGGGAGGAATGTTCTTGTAACTGGGTCTATTCTTCAGTGAACCAACTCCGCTTCGCCAGAGCACATGGATTCCTCGCGGACGGGCAGGATTGAGACTGGGCAACGGATGCCAAACCCGCTTACCCACTTAGTGCAAATAAAGTATCATTATTGCGAGATAAGGAAAAGAATATCAAAGTAAAAATTTAAAATAACATTAAGTACAGAAATTCGGCTGGGAAAATTACCTTCTTTGGCCTCCTGATGGCACAAAAAGTTAGCTGCAGAACGAGGGATTTGGCATCCAGCTCACTATCATGTCCTCACTCTGACTGGACAGAAGTGGGCAGCACGCCGGTTCATCGAATGAAGGCAGTTTCTCGTCCTTGCTTCTGAGCGGAAAAACTCGTTTATGCCACCGTCTTTTTGGGTCGGACTTCCTTCGGAAATACTTATTCCTATTTCTCTTCAAAATGTCATATTGCCGAAGTCAAGGTAAGCTGAGGCCTGACTGCATACGGAATGAGTGAATGACAGCATGAATGAACCCCGAAAGCGACGTTCAAATGAGTATTTAGCATGATTAACAGTGGCGATTTGACCAGAATGTTGTTCCTAATAGTCACATGGATATGGGCCCTTTAAATCCATAACACGAAGCCCTTAGCCAGAGTTAAGCTTAATGGAGATGTGCTTGGGTTTGGTTTGTCAAGTGAAAAATATTCGCATGTGTTCGAGGAGAGGAGTCTAATATTTTTAAACATAGTGGTGCATAGCTTCTTTAAGGGGGCAGATTAAGATAATTTCTTTCGAAGCACCTAACAAAACTAAGCAATAGGCTTGTGAGAATTCTTGGAGTAGGATTTTGGAATTTGATGCACAAAATCTGTTAATTTCTCTTGAATGCTTTGCTTTCTTGCTATTTTTAAAAATTGTTTCTAATAATATTAAATTCCACTGAGGGGAACTCTGATGTGCTCATCTTTTTGCCAGCTTTACCTTTTCCACCCAGTCAGAGTTGAATGATTCCCAGACATGATTTCATATGCAGAATAAATACTTTTCTTTCTGAGTGAGTCAAATCTTATATTTTCTCTAATGTTATACTTATACTCAACTCATGCCCATGAAACAGCCTATATAGAGCTACTGGGCATACTGTTCTGGTTTGCATTCCTTTCTGAATGCCCAAATTCTTCTTCAGTCCTATGCCAGCTTCTGACCAATCCATTTTTTTTTTTCCTTAGTGTCTAGATCAGGGGTGTAAAACTAAAAAGAATGTGTGGGCCACTTAGGATTTTTATTCACATACTGTGGGTCATAGTCTGGCTGACCATAGTTGTGGCCAGCAGAGTGGGAGCTATAGTAGCACAATGTAATCAGTCACAGCAGGCTACTAGCAAGGACCTTGTGGGCTGAATGTTGTACATTCCTGGTTCAGATAATCTGATGTTGCTTTATTTATTAAAGTACTTTATTTCAAATAAGAAAGAAATCCCAGAAACTTGCATTCGATTTTGGTTGCATCGTGATCTTGATCTCAGTCAGTCATTTCTGGGTTAAAATTCTCTGTTGAATGAAAGTAGAGCCTTAAACATCAGTAAAGGTATACTTAGCATCACTTTGGGATAGAGAGCAGAACAGAGGGAAACATCCCCCCTCCCCTTCAGCTTCAGTTGTTGCCAGCATTTCATTTACATGATCCTGTGACTTTTCTCTTTTTTTTTTTCTTTGCCTCTGTTTGAAAGCTTAAAAAGTCATGATGATTTAGCAGGAAATGAACAACAAAGCTAGGGAAACTTGGGAGTCCTGGTAGGAATCAAACTTGCATCCTTTGAATTGACTATCTTGTGGTCTACTAATCAGTCCAGTCCAATCTCTGCTCACAATTGATGTGATTCCTTGCAGGGAAGGACAAGATAATCTTTGTTACCAAGGATGACCATGAAAAGCCTGCAATGGTGGAGTTTGAACCCAGCCACGATGATGAAGAACCAAAAGGTGAACCTTTTATTTTCATTTGCTGTGATAGATCTGGTATAAGTTGGGCTGCTCTTTAGGCTGACACAGTTGGATTTTGCTGCCTCCATCTGTCATTTATGGGGGAGAGAGAGCCCTGAAGGGGTGGTATGACAGTCCTCATTATTTAGGCATCATGTGAAGTCAGGTAGCAAAAAATTTGTTTGGCATCATTCCTTGAAAATTCAAGAAAATTTTATTATAATGTCTTTTCACTGCAACATATTTCATTTTATTATAAGGTTTTTGATGTGACAAATCTGGTCTACAATATTTACTCCTTGATGCAGTGTTTTCGGGAAGAGTGCTAATGCAATAAATAATTGAAAATGTAGTTATTTTATTGCCCCTATCTCATCAACTTAATGGCTTCTAAAGCCACAAAGGAAAAAAGCATGTTTGTCACCATTTGCATGACAGTGTTATTATTCCTTTGAGTGTCATCCTAAATCAGAATCACCCAAATATGTGTATCTCCAAATATACAGTATACAGGGTATGGGGGAAAAAAAAGACCAACGACTTTCAACCTAAATATCTTTCCTCCCAATAGTTATTTTTTAAAAACTTTCACATTGTATATAAGAGAATGTTTCCAACTGATGCTTCAAATTTCACCCAAATTTGTTGTTCCAAAGCATTTCTATTAGCAATTATTGGAAATAAGTTAGACATTAAGAATGGACAAGAGCTCCTGCTGGTAGTGGAGTGGAGGACACACCCGAGTGCCAACCCTCCTGCTTTGTCATCTCCTAGGGACAGGGCTTGAGTGCATCCTCCACTCCACTACCAGCAGGAGCTTTTGTCCATTCTCAATGTCTAAATTATTTTCAATAATTGTTGATAGAATTGCTTTGGCACCACAAATTTGGGTGAAATTAGAGGTATCAGTAGAAAACTGACTCTTACATGCGATGTGAATGTTTTGCAAAAAATAACTATCACGAAGGAAGATATTTAGGTTGAAAGTCGTTGGGTTTTTTTTTTTGCCATACCCTGTATATGTATACATCTTCATGAGTGGGATATGTGACCCCATATAGAGTAGTGCTCTTTCAATCATGGAAGCAAACAGTGAGGTATCAGGGAGCCAAAGGGTCTTTTGTGCAACATTATGATATTTGTAGGACTGTATTAGTATTAATTGTTAAATTTTTATTCTTGGTATATATGCTTGCTCTGAGAAATAAATGGTCTGAACAACTGGTACAGATCCTAACCACATATTTATATATTGACACATACATTGGCTCTCCTCTTAGGTTTGATTCTTTCAAATGGAGAGATAAATTGGAACTGCCCTTGCCTTGGAGGAATGGCCACAGGACCTTGTGGAGTTGAGTTTAGAGAGGCCTTTTCTTGCTTCCATTACAGGTAAGTAAAGATTAGGCCTGAATGCTGATCTCTCCTCGAAGAATTTGTGGACTCCTATTTGATAAAAAGAGCTCTTTTTTTTAAAGGCCCCATTATCATGTATAATTGAGGTTTCAGCATTTGAAGCCAGTGGCATGCCCAAGGGGTTTTGGGGGTCATACCCCCTTGGGGTCAATTTTACATGTTCGATTCTCAAAAATATTGTTTTTCTGCCACAAATACAAGGTGTGTTATCAATTTTTTAAAATGTTAACTTGCCCCCCTCATTACAGTGGGTAATCAGTGTTTCATATGGTGACCCCCCCCATTCAGATTTCCTGGGCATGCCACTGTTTGAGGCTATATTGCTATACCTTATTTTTTTGTTTACTGACATGAGTGCTTCATTTGAATTGAATACAGCAAAGAAGAGCCAAAAGGTAGCGACTGCTTTGAAGCCTTCAGCACTATGCAGGACTGCATGTCCAAGTATCCCACAGTGTACAAGAAGTTTGACAATGATGATGATGATGAAGACACTGAGGAAATTGGATCAATGGTTGAAGCTGCCACCTCAAAGGAGGACAACACTCCTCCCAGCCCAATGAAAGCAGAGACCTCAAGTGCATCATCTTCCACAAAGAAGGAAAAGACATGAGTGCCTCTGTAGTTAGTTACAAATATGACTGATGTAGGCATACTTGACTGCTAGTGTTGTGTCCCAGCCAAGTGTAATCTCAAATGTCGGCTCTTCACAAGCTCTTGCTCAGTATTTTTCACATCCTTGTGTTCTTCATCAGCCTCTCTTGGTCACACTGATGTGGTTGGTGCTACCCTTCAGATCAACATCAGAGCAATATTCTTTTCATTATTTCCAACATACAGTCACTGGCAGAGTAAATGAAAGCTTGAGTTTCTCTAGAAATACAGTACTCCTTTACTCTGAACACTACATTTCATCACCATAAGCATTTGAGCAAGCACCAAGTTTTGCTGACACTAAATTGCACATTGTGCCCCTATGGAAGGAGAAACGCTGGCCAAGGAGGAATGGAGATTCTTGTAAAGATAAAAGCCTGGAAGATGAGGATTTGAAAGGAGGACTCGTTCTTCTATGTCCACCAGTGATTGATGTCCTTCAATGCCTGTAATCCCTGAGGCTGGAAGGGCAGTGGCCTACACACGACAGGTACATGGGAAACCAATGAGGATGACTGAAGGATGGGTGACCCTACAGGGGAAAACTAAGGCAACATCTTTCCTGGGATAAGGCAAGAAAGAGGGGGAAAAATCTCTTTCATGATTTCAAACAGCACAAAAACCTCTTCCTTGTTGTCTGACTTCCATGTAATTGGAATCACAATATTAATATCTGGACAGAATGGCACGTTTCTTGGACTTATGAGACTGGACTAGAGTGAAATTCATTTAAAAAATCCATGCATCTATAACAACCATTAGCTACCGTGTGTGGCTCCTATCTCCAGATTGCCTAACTTTGAAACTTTATTAGGGCCTACTGGATAAGCAGGGAAGGGATATCTTCAAGCAAGTGTTGCATGTTGCCTTTTTAGTTCTAGGGGTGCATCACAATCCTTAATACAACAACCATGTTGAGATAGAAAAGACCTGGATACCTTTTTCCTTTTGAAACAGGAGAATCAACAGCTCATGGCAATGAAACCTCAGAGCAAAAACTTGGGAAAACAACAAGATAACAGCAAAAACTCATTGAAAGGAAACAATACAAATGAGAAGAGGATTTCATCTAAAGAATCTGCTAGCAGTGTTTTGTATGTGTGCTGCTCAGGTGACTAAGACTATCACAAACTATTGATGGCAGGGATGCAATCACGAAGGTCGGATTCGCATCCAGTGAGTCGCCACACGAGGTGAAGATGTGATGACAATGCCTCGCTCAAAGAATGCAACTTGAGTATCTCCAGCATTGAGAAACTGGGTGAGTCGCCTGTGGGCATCTGGACCATGCACCCAGAAGAGGATTCCACCTCTCCTGCTGAGTGTCTGGATACTTTCTTCCCACAGGGGATGACCCACCTCAAAAGGGGTCAGGTACGAGGCCGAGTCCATGTCCATGTGTTGGATCCAGTGGCTTCCTTGCAACCTCATGTTCAGGTCTTCCTCCAATGCATCTAAAAGAAAAACTAAAGATGACATACCCTGCATCAAACTCTTTAAAATCTGTACATTAAAAGAAGGGCTCTGATGGTCAAAAGTCAGGGATGAAAGGTTAAAGAGAGCAATTACAAATGTATGGTGACAAAGGTTTAGATTTACCAGGAAATGATGCAAATGTTAATTTTTTTCCATTTATGAATTCACTTGGGGAGGGTACAATATTACAGGAAGATAGTTGGATGGATGGGAAGAGGAAAACCTCCAAGCCTCTATTTCTTCAGTATTCCAACTTTTGCTTAGCTGTGGAAAAGAGTTCTCATAATGTTTAGACTTGGGAAAGCTTGAGACCTTCTGAGGAAGATGATCTCCAATTAATTCAAATGGAAAGCCTCTAATTCATAATGCAGCACACATAAAAGGGTGGGCAGGGATGAAGCTTGTAAAAAAAAAAAAAAAAAAAAAAATGGCAAATCTCAGCTTTCAACAAAGTGTAAATTGCCATAAAAGTAAGTGTTCCAAAGATCAAAGGAAGAAATACATGATGCTGCAAAGCTCTTCTTTGAATGAACAGAATATATGTAAGACAATGGAACTATCACCCACAAAGGAAGAGACCAAGATGAGCCAGAATGAAGGAACCAAACGCAAGAAGACCGACAGTTTGGGTAGAGGAAGAGGACTGAGGCGAATAGAAGCGTTCAGATTCCCAAGCATCAGATGATTGGGAGATGGAAGGAGGAATATCATTCTCAGCAGACAGGGACAGTGGCTTTGACAAGAGGAGGGGTCGAATGAGTCTGTTCAGGCTCGCCTCTTCTCCCATCACCTCTCGCAAGTCTGAAAAGAGGAAAGGAGTTGCATGGCCTGTTCCTGGAAAAAGGAAATTCCTCATGTTAAAAAAACCTTTGAGGGAGAAGACATTCGGAGACTCCTCGGATCTCTGTACGAGATGAAGGACGATCTGAATGAACACGGCCTCACACATAGATGTGAGGTGATGTGCAGCGTTTTCCCGAGTCCCAACAAACACAGACGGCTTATCTCTTCCCTCCTCCCACAAAGGTAAGGGATCTTCACAGTCAAAGACAAGAGAGAATTCAACTTCAACCAGTGTTCAAATTAAATGATGCCATGCAGGGGGTAGGCAGGAGCTTACTGTCAGACTCGACAAGAGCAGCTGCAGGGAGGAGACCATGAAGAATGAAGCCATGACGCTGAAGGGCCTCCAAAGCGACAGCCATCAGAGAAAAGGGCAGGGCTGGGTTGAGGAAGAATGCCACTCCACTTCCCTTGTTGCAACTCAGCAGTGACACAAACCCAGCCTTGTTCTCAATGAGGCTTCTGGTAAAAATAAAAATAAAAATAAATAAACATTTTGTCCAATGAATTATTCTATGCCAATTGTGAGGAGCTGAGAACTCTCAAGGAGACACATGAACAAATGAAATAGGCTTATGAGGATGATGTCCTGGCACGAAAACTTCAGATTGGTTAACATCAGATGCAGAGGCTCCTGGTTGTGGAAAGTCTTCATATCAACTTCACAAGCAAATATTGTGAAGTCATAAAAAATCATAAGGAAAAAATCGAGTAGAGCTGGGAAGAGAGTGAGATCATAAACCAGACATACTGCAGGAGCAATCATAACTGATCTGTTGTCCTCACTGTAGTATTTTCACCAGCACTGAACTGTAAAAAGTAGTACTGCCAGATCCCCATGGTTTGTTTCAAGAGATCACGATATATCTTTAAACTCTCTTCTCATTTTTTCACAGAAAAAATACCACACTTCTGCAGCATTTGACACTAGTAAGGAATTTTTGGTGGCAAAGCATCAAAAAGCTTCATAATTTATGCTCTAAAAACTGACCTAGGCTACATGGCAATGTTGCATGGTCATAAGTGTGCAATGAGTGGGGCATCCACATTGAGGTCTATCTCTTTATTTTTGAAAATTATCCCTTCTTCCACTCCAGTCTGAATTTCTGAATTATCTTGGTAATCTAGTAATTAAAATACAAGTTTGACAAAGGAGCTATGAGTCTGTCCAAACACAAAACCATAAAATGTCAGCAAAAAACAAACTTTTCTTCCTTTACATAGAAAACAAAAGCCTCATCAGCATGGTTACTCTGCTACCACAAAGCCACCAGTACAACCAAATGTACTTTAATCCAGTGAATAAGATATTGTTGTCTGCAATCTCTTCCATAGGAGCAGCTACCTACATAAAGCTAGGTGCCCCTTTGGAAACAATTTTTATGCAATTCTTGGTTGATGTGATTTCACATCTACCCAATTCATGAAGCTATTCTCTAGAACAACACTGAGGTGAACAAAGAAACTAACCCAGTCTCATCAGACAGAGTCCTGGGAGGTCCCCCAAAATAATGCACAAGAGACTGCTTCAGGTGAAGCTCCCCGTTGGCCCCACGCCTCATGTTCCCATCCCATTCCATTGACACACTCTGGAAAATGCATGTCAGAGGATGATTGTCAAGGAAGGAGAGCTGGGCATCCTGGTGAGTCAAGCTGCTCTGGAGGATGCGATTGAACTTCTCCTCCCATTCTCTTGCAAGGCAGCCCCTCAGGACCAGAGCCAAAAAGGGCTCTAAGTCGGCCTGACCAAAAGAACTGCCACTGCTATTGCTGCTGCGGGAGGAGGTATCGCCCTATGCACAATAAACAATGTATTAATATTCAATCCAGTCAGATAATGTCTCACCAGCTAGGTGTGAAAATGACTCACTTCTTTGTAGATGAGATGCAAGCCAGCAACATCAAGTCCAGCATGCAGTGCAGCTAACAGAAAGCTGCCCAGCTGCTGAGCATTGGATAGGTAAGCCCAGGGCCTGATGGACAGGGCCACTTCCAGCCTGTTTTCACCTCCCTCTCCTTTGATGAGAATTAATATTAGTGGAATTTGCACTTGACAACCCATAGGGGTATAGCAATCTCTTTAATCTCACCATGGAAAGCCTGGGATGGAAGGGACTGGACAGTATCTTCATCTTCCATCGTGGCCCAGAAACAAGATGGGAGGAGAGAGAAAACAGCCCTGGCCTCAGATGGATCTCCATGTACTTTCACAAAACGGATCATGGGTTTCTTTGGACCGCTCACCCACACCAGGCCTGGGTTCCCATTGTGTCCTTGCTGCTGCTTTGAATAGGATATCAATAATATAATGGAACTAAAAAATCTCTCACATATGATTTATAAACTTACTTCATAGCAGTTATCCTCAAAGTATATGTGAAGTGGCCACAGAAGATTTCGAATTCGGCGAATGCCTGGAAGCCAGGATGAGCAAACTTGCTCTAAGCTCTTCTTAGACAAGTACGTAACAACACGCTCATGGAAGGACAATCCTTTTGCTCCAGTACTTTTCACATAGGAATTGGGTTGGATGAGCACAGACAGCATCAGTTCTTTCCCAACCACCCCTTGCTGCATGCCACAGACCACAAAGGGACATTCCGTCTGGACCTTGATTCACAGAATCAGAGAATTCACTTTGAGAGCCCTCAAGTCTTTTTCATCCTTTCCTATAGTAAACAAAACTAACCTTATGGTGATGGTGATCCTTGGGGACAAGTGATGAGAGCCATGTGACAAGTGCATAGTATGTGAATGGCAGGTCGGTGCTCTCAGGATTCGACTTCCCAGAGTCCTTCACCTGTGCAACTGTTCCATTGCTGGACAGTGTGACTGTCAACAGGAGGCAGGAATTCTTCAAGCAAGAAGGCAGGGTTGAGGTTGGGAAAGGCATGTAACTCATTTCCTGCAGGGGAATCAATTCAGGGTCATTGATCATTAGTCAAATATAATGGATCCCTGCTGAATTCTGAAAGTTCACAATTATACAATACCAGTAAATGTAAATGGAAAGAGTATATGAAACATGTAACACTAGTAAAAAAAATGGGGTAAGGGTGGTGAAAAAGCCTTTTTTTCCTTAAACCACTATAACCTTTGTAATGCAGTTGTCACAGCATCTGTCACATAAACAAAACCTTCCAGCTGCATTATCCAACACAAGCTTATTTCATCATCAAACAAAAGGATGAGGGAATTAATGGGAAGTACATGACGAATGGTAAATTGAATGAAAACTGAAGAGTTTCTTAATATTTTCAGCCCTGACAATTTATGCACAGGCATATGATGACTCTAACTACTGACACCTACAAGCAGGAATGGGTCCTGGGTAATCAAAAAAGTTAGCCTTTGGCAAGTCTCTGCTTCTTCATCTGCCTTGAGAATGCAGAGTTCTTGCTTGTTGCCAGTCTTGAATGGTTGTTAGCCTGTTTCTATTATGGTTGTACTATATATACATCAAGGTGGCATCCCATGAGATGTAAGTGAATGAAAATCCTCACCTCATCATACAGAAGGTCTGTGTTCCTACAGCATGTACTCTTCCCAGACACAGACAAATTTGGCACCTTCTTGAGAAGGTATTCCAAGTCTTTATTCTTTTCACACCTCAGACTGGAATCCTCATTCATAAGGGATCTGACCTTACGACCCTTCTTCTCGCCTCTGTTGTCTGGTGTCTGGCTGCTCTCAGACTTCTTGCCTTTCTTCTTCTTGGGAGTGCTACTGTGAAGCACACCAGGGAAGCTAGCCTCCGAAGACGAGCTCTCTCGTCGACTGGATGCGGTTCCCTTGGCTGCATCTGATGCGGATCTCCGAACCGATGGCGATGCCAAAGAAGATTTATCGCCCTCAGAAGATGATTCGACGATGTCAATACCTTCATCAATGTCTCCACTGCTCAGAATGTCTGGGCGTGGGACCCGGAGATGGCCGTTGGACTCTGTCCCATGGTCTTCTTGGCAGGTGCTGTATTCAAAGTCAGGTTCCTGAGCTGTCAGGGCTTCATCATCATTGGAAGAGGTGCTGCTACTCTTTGTACTTATTTTCACATAAGTTTCATGGGAGAGACCTGCTGTGCAGCCACTGAAATTGATCTTCCGTTTCTTCAGTATGAAGTGTGCATTTCGTGACAGATGTGCCTTGTGGGGGGCCATGTGAAGAAGGCAATTCCAGATTTTATGTCACTTGCACTCTTTGACAATGTTAAATCTCTTCTTGAGTTCCTTTTATTCTACAGACACGTTGGAATGACCTGTAAGCCATAAGAAAGCTGGTTTAGTTTATCTTGCCAGGCACCATCAACAACTAACTACACCTATAAGTTATGACACCAACACACTCGTGTCACCTTACATGGAATGGTTACATTTTAGATATTGAGTTTCATTCATCTTCTCGCTGGGGAGATTTTCTTGGCTGCCTGCCCCCCCCCATCCCCTCCATCCATCCATCAAGCTACACCACAGCATAAAAGTATTTTGCAATTTTTGCTTTCAGCAGGAAGACATGTCAAGCTAACAATTATGCAAGAGAGCATGTCAGACCAGACACAGATTTTGATGGTATTAGGTCATATCTAAACAGCTTTGTATATCTTTCCTAAAAATTTAAGGTTATGATAGTGACCACCCATTCATTTTTTCTGGATTTATGCTGATGTCCAACCCATCTCATTATTCTGTATTTAATGTGAAATGGTCCACACTTTCATAGCATAACTTACTTTAACTGTACATTCATGGCAATTTACGATTTGGTATAATATATTGTTCTTCCAACTCTCTTTGCAACCTTTACAATATCTGGATTAGTTCATGAGTGAGTATCATGGGGTTCGTGGTAAATATTCTCATCTAAGGGTATCCTGCATCTGAAAACCTCAGTGTGCCACTTGTTCTGCATTCATTACTTTTACCCATATGTTCCTTAGGACTATGTCCAGGTGACCATCGTAAACATAGGCCTACAAAATAAGACAGCATTCCTTTAAGTGACAAAGGGACTGGCGAAGAAATTAATTACAATACATTTCCTAGATGGAAATCTCGTATCCTGGAAGCTTCTAATAAAAGCTCTTCACGGCTAGGCCATTTCGAATGAAGTAGCGTGACGGCTGAGTCCGCGCTCACTATCTGATTTTGGACAGAGGAAGCAAGTGCGCGATGGAGCCGAAGCGGAACGAGAACCCTTGCTCCCAAGATAAACATGAAAACAAACGGGAAGCAAAACAACTTCGTCCCATCCAGACATAGACTAGCCACTTTCCCTTCAGCCTCCAGGCACGAGAGACCCCGAGAGGTGAATATCCTCAAGGGCACCAGAGGGCGCACATGCGGGATGCTACCTCTAAGGCTTCCTTCAATGCTTAGTGGCTGCGACTGTAATAAGATTTTTGTAGATTTTTAATTTTCTGATATGCATCAGGGGGTCTAATATATATCCTGGGTCGAATCAATGGAATATGTTTCTAAAGCGGGTTGCTTCGTCGTGGACGACTGGGAGTGAAATCTAAGAAGGAATTCCATTCGGCAGAAGAATCGAAGATGCTCAGCGCCATGAAGTTCTGCACAGTCGCACGTGGTCTGTACTGCTGAGCTGATTAAACGTGTGCACGCACGTGGCTGAGAAGCTTCCGAAGTTCGTTTGGATTTATAGCTAAGCAGTCGGTTTTTTTTTTTAAGTTTGGTGGGCAGCTTCTGTCAGCAAGTGATAATGGTGAGGAACTGTTGTTTACATTCCTTAAGCGATGAGGCTGTGACTTCCTTTCCACTCTTAAGCCGGCCCTGCCAGCCTATAGGGAGTTCTTCGAAAATCATAGTTACACTTTACAATTAAATTCTAATTGGAGCTGCAGATTGGCCGATTTAATGCGTAACATGAGCGTATAAGTTTGCATGCTGCCCTTGCTCAAGCTAGGATTTTGGTATTGTACAGTCCTTTTGCTGAAATAAGAGCTAATCTTCAGACCCTTGGTGTTTTGTTGTATGGTAGCCCTCTCATCAAAATTAAGCTTATCATTCTACAGAGAAAGAGCTACTTCTGATCTACTTCTGAGGGTGATTCAAAATTCAGTTGGTGCTCATTGTTGCACGCTTAGCTGGGGAATAAGCCAAGTCATTGTAAGTAAGACAAGGGAGACCCTATCTTGCAGATAAGGAGACAGACACGCCTCAGGAGAGAATATTTATATCGAAAGTCCTTGGAGGAGAAGCAGCGATCAATCCAGGAAAGAAAAAACAGATTGAAGAAGGCTTTAGATGGTGAGAATATGGTTTATGTCTTTTGTCATCCTGTCTGATTGCTGTATTTTCTTGTTGCAAATTTGCTTTTTTTTTATTTTAACCATTTTCCAAGTTACTTACCAAGTTTTACTTCTTACTTTTTGTAAGTCTCTGGGTTTCTTCCCATACAAAGGCTGAAATATTATTGTCAGTTGACTGCATGTTGAACCATGGAGAGAATTGACCAAAGTTAGGGAACAGTAGATATGTAACCTTTCTTTTGCAGAAAAGAATGAAAAATATTACCCATTACCCATAAACCCTTCACAAGTCTTTTTTGAAGACCAGCATATGCTGTTGTACATGCTTGGGGGGTTAAATAAGAATGTTTTCATATGGTTTTGTTTTTATGAAAAATTTTGCAGAAAATCGGGTAATCCCCACTGATCTACGGAGAGATGCACTGGGACTTCAGAAGGATGCACTGTGGGATGATGCAGCTCCGGCTCATGCTGCCATCCTTGGTGGAGAGACTGAGCCAGGTGGAACAAGCCACATTGATGATGAGTACAGATGGGCTGGTGTCCGTGATCCCAAAATCATGATCACCACCTCAAAGGATCCTTCTTCCAGACTCAAGATGTTTGCCAAAGTGCATGGATTCTTGTTGCTAGTGATATGCTGTTTGTTAGAGAATGACTTACCAACCATTTCTACTTGTTGATTGTTCCAGGAACTCAAGCTGATTTTCCCTAATGCTCAACGGATGAACAGAGGAAACTATGACATGAAGCAGATAATTGAAGCGTGCAGAGCAAATGAGGTCACGGATTTCATTGTCATCCATGAGCATAGGCATGATCTTGGACCTGTTCCTGGTTAGTGAGAGTCAAAGGTGACAAGTGCTCACTGATGATGTGATTTTATATTCAGGGGCAATCCTGATGGTCTCATCATCTGCCATCTTCCATATGGACCAACAGCATACTTCTCCATGACAGACGTCATTATGCGACATGATGTTCCCAACATTGGAACCATGTCTGAGCAGTATCCACATCTCATCTTCCATAACTTCAAGACTCCCCTTGGGGGTCGGGTAAGTCCCATAAAAGTTTCATTGTCATTCTTGTGAATCACTGCTTTCTTCCATGGGAGTTTCATTTATTCTAGTTATTTGCTTTTGTTTGCATAGGTCAAGAACATTCTCAAGTATTTATTCCCTGTTCCAAAGGAAGATAGTCATCGGGTGATGACATTTGCCAACCATGATGACTTCGTTGCCTTCAGACATCATACATTCAAAAAGAACTCTGAAGCTCCAAAAGGGATTGAATTGGTTGAAGTTGGGCCTCGTTTTCAACTTCGCTGTATGTTTTCCCCTTGGGTGATTATGCCTTTGATTGTCACAAATTGTGCAATTCCTCCTCTTCCTCTCCTAAGTGTACGAGATCAAGCTGGGGACCCTGGATCAGGGAGATGCAGCTGATACTGAATGGGCCTTCCGGCCTTACATGAACACGACCAAGAAGCGGAGGTTCATTTCTGATGAAGATGGCTGGAAAATTGCATCTTGATGGATGTTTGCTGTTGAAATTTCTCCTCAGATTTTGATGTATCATAAAGACATTCCTCCTTGTTTCCTGTTTCTACAGTCATCATATTTCCAATATCTAAATGCTGTCCGTGCTGATGCTAAATTAATGGTATTGGCCTCTTGCTGAAGAGGGCCGGACAGAGGAAAGGAACCTGTTATGAATGGATGTAATAATGTTGTTGTATGTGTAGTTACATTATTACCCCTGTACCTAATAAGAAATTCCTTCATTGGGATAGAACCAACTTAGGAAGAGTTTGGTAAGGTAACCAGTATGTCAACAATTATTAACTCTACATGAGATTGTAACTGTAATGATGATTAGTGCTTGTACCCATCACAAAAATGTCTCCAGCTGGCTTCCTAACAGATTTGAAGTAGGTGAGGTGAGGTGATAGTGGAATATGACTAGTTACAAGGTCCTAGAATTTTACAGTGGTATTGGGGGCATGCACTGGGCCTTACAAGGTATTTCTTCATCATCTCTGGGAAAGTTTTTCCAAAGTCATGGTTATCTATTCACACTTGCCATTCTCACTCAGGTGCAGGATACCATAACACTGAGGTGACTGCCATGGAGATCAATGATGTGGCCAACAGAGTGTACAAAACAAACTTTCCATCAATTAAACTATTGCAGAGAAATATCACCTCCCTCTCCATCAATGAATTTGAAACCTGGAAACCTGACATGCTTCTCATGAGCCCTCCCTGTCAGCCTTATACAAGGTTCTTTCTCAATTGCATCCTGACATCCTCCTTATGGTTTTCTCAATGAGAAGTTTTACTTTGGAATAGGGTTGGACTAAAGCGGGGTACCAGTGACCCAAGATCCTTCTCATTTCATCATATTTTGGACATATTAGGAGCTTCTAAGCACAAGCCAAACTACTTCCTCCTGGAAAATGTGAAGGGTTTTGAAGAGTTTGGAACAGAGAAGCTTCATGCAACACTCAGGCTCTGTGGCTATCACTTTCAAGAATTTCTTCTCAGTCCACATCAGTTTGGGATACCCAATTCTAGATTGAGATTCTACCTCCTGGCCAAGCAAAATCACCTTCCATTCAGCTTTCCTGTCCAATCTGAGGTTAGATTTTGAAGGATGGGATGGATTCTGTGACTGGACATTTTTTAGTGCTTTTCTTCATCGTTGCATTTGTTATAGATTTGGACTACAATGCCTCTCAGAAAAGAGTCAGTGGCAACATTCAAGATTGGGAGCATATTGGATGAGGAAGCTGCTGAGGATCCAACTCTACTTATCCCAGAGAATATTCTGTTGAAACATGCAGACATTTTAGATATTGTGGGTCCTGAATCAGAGAGGAGCTGCTGTTTCACAAAGGCATATTCTCGCTTTGTTGAGGGCACTGGGTCTATCTTGTGCCCACTTGGACTGAGGAAAGTTGAAGAAGTCTTCAAGGATATGCCAGGAAGCACAGAAAAGATTACCTCCCTGAAAAGCCTGAAGTTGAGGTATTTCTCACCCAAAGAGGTCTCAAGACTCATGTCCTTCCCAGATGAATTCTGTGAGTTTGCAGTGTCATAGAATGTCTCTATTACTAGTAATGGTTAAGTGAATTAAATCATGTGTTAACTGGGGGTAATTTTGACTATGAAAAGTTACCATAATGATGTTGTCTCTTTCATGTTTTGGCCCTCTTCAGACTTCACAATCTTCTGCAACTTCCCTTTGGAGGAAATTTCAAGGTTCAGATAAGGATGTCATGAGGCACTTCTGCCTATTATGACATACCATGTGTGTGTGTCACATAGATGTACCTAAGACTAAACTTGGCCAAACTGAGCATAATTTATACACAAATGCTAACATGCACAGATGACCCCCCCTTGTACCCTGTTAGCAACATTATACATGAGATAATGATATCTCTATAAGCAGACACCTCTTATAATTCAGGTCCCACCACTCTTTATTTGTTCTTTAGACCAGACCAACCCATTCTGATGATGCACTTCATAACCATCTCTTGTACCCCTATTCCACCAGGCATTCCCCCCAGTGTGACTAGGAAGCAGGCTTACCAGCTTTTAGGGAACAGCATCAATGTGTCTGTTGTGAGTCAGCTCATCAAGCTCCTTTGCAAGAATGATCCTGGCTGAGATGCTTCATGTTTCCAACCTGAAGTCTATCTGGCAGAATGCCCCTAAGGCCACAATCAGTATGAAACAAAGAAAAGTTGCAGTCAAGGTGGATTTGGTCCATCTTCGGAATTCTCCAATGGTTGTCAGCACCAATTCTGCAAGGCTCATTTTTTGATTGCCTGATCTCTGTATGCATGCAATGATGGTATTGTGGTCCATAAAGATATATATGATGTTTATTTGCATGTGTCTGGATATTTTTATGTGGGAACTCTTCAAGACCATCCTGCCAAGGCCTGAATTCAACAGCTTGACTTACAGAGGTTCCAATGAGGTCTCCATCCAAGACCCATTGCTTCATGGAACTTTGGATGGTTTGTATCCATCGAATATACACTTTCAGGTGAATCCTGCATTGTCTCAGAGAATCAACTGGAGTGCAATTTATGCCATCATTGGAGAATGAACTTGTGCGGCAAATTTTGGCAGACCAATTGCTATACTAAACCCAGAAAGACAAGTGTTGCCGATTATGTTCCTGAAGACCTGCAAGACCATTGTGATTGGAACTGCAAATGCTCTGAGAAGTTACTTCATTCAAGATATGGATTCCATTGGCTACCCATGGAATCTCCCTTCTTTACCTGATTAATAAAAGTTGGTTTTGGTCAGCAGCTACATTCCCAACCCGATAGAAGGTTTTTTTCCATATCAGCATGATAACAAAAGAGTCACCATCAGTTGTCAAGTAATTTTTTTACCGAAAGTTTGAACAGATGCAAGAGATCTCAAACCCTCCACATATTTTTTATTTAAATGCACTCAACTTAGCACATTAAATTGTAAAGACTAAGGAAGATCTTTTATTTCTTGGCTTCTATTGTGTAGATCTGGCACCAAATGTAAAGCTTGGCTCATGGTAGTTTCTGCAAGTGACAAATTTCCAAATTGACAACACAGAGTAAACTTAGGCTTTGCACAAAATGAAGTGAGGTGGAGTATACAGTCAGAAGATAGCAAGTTGAAAGAAATGACCAAAGGGTGTCACCATACCATGGAACAGATTTCAGAGCCCTATATAAAGCACAATAGCCAAAGGATGAAAAAAAAAACTATTTTGCTCAGAATGAAAATGGCATATACTCCTCAGAAAAACATGCATTCTATTTAGATAGCCTGCTCTAAATTCAAGAGGATTTTTCAATGGTTCTAACAAACTCATCTACTAGTCCACCCAAATTCAGTATACAATTATAATTCATTCATAAAAACAGGTACTTTCTATACAGGGTGTTCGTATTTAAATGCAACATAGGAAGTTTGGGGCAGGCCTTATAGCTCACTGGGTTGCATGTCTGGAAGGATGAAACCTATCCCTGGTGTGTAGTATCCTTGCAAATATGCAACTTGGTGGGCCTTATAATGTTCGCCTATCTCCACCTACAAGCGGAATATTCCCTATGTTGCGTTTAAATACGAACACCCTGTATATATACTGATGAAAAGTGCACTTGTAAAAGGATGGAAATTCCTCACTTCTTGACAGACTTTTACAAAATGTGAACTGCAACCTAAGTGCACTCATTTGATAAGTACACAATTTTTAAAAAATAAATTTTTTATCAAATACATCACATGAAAAAATATTTTTACCATTTGTAGTATTAACACTACCCAAACAGGCAGCAGTCTAGCACAATGCACAGTGTGGGCAGCCAGCAAATTTTTGCCCACATTTTCCCCTTTCCTCTCCTCTGCTCACTCAAGCAGCTCTGCAACCAGCTTGAGGGGCAGGTTGCACAGAACTTGCATCCGAATTCCAGGGCCTGACAGGCAACTCTTTTATCATTGAAGAAGATTGTGAAATAAAATGTTAACCCATAATCTAAATTGGAGAGCAATGTAACCAATTGATGACATGCTTTGGTTTGCCAGCATTAATTATTCAAAGCTACTTCAAGTATTTTTTTTTTAAAAGATCCTCATACCTGTTGAATAAATGCCATTCTTGACAAGTCACTATTCTCTTTAAACATTTGAATCATAAGAGATGAGAAATCTAGTGGCTACAGGCTTCTGATGGATCCTGTGCAGTATGTTATATTGCCTTCTTGCCCATGTCTCACAAATCTTTTCATTCAGTGCATTGTTACTAGTAAATTAGCAGGCAAGGCCCTCCCAGAAAAATAGCCATCTTAAAGAAGGATAGGCCTACCTTAAGATACATGAACACTCAACTTAACACAAGATGTCACGAGTGGATGTCTTGATGTCCCAATTTGAACCTTGAAGCTTATATTGAGTGAAGTGTAAAAAACACTGCTTAATGAAATTCTTAGTTATGACAAGAACAGATGAGACCACAAATGTTCATTCATAATTACTTGTCTTTTCCCTGAACAATCCAAAATGTCCACCCATTTATACCTACTCATATCACCACAAGTGATTTCACGAAAACAACTCAATCTTTTGTCTTGCTCTCATTCTGCACCAATGACCACTGAAACTGCATATCCAACAAGGAAATCTTTTTAATGCTTTTTTCCTGGACACTTCAGAATTTGTTGAACAAATCTCACTCCTATTTCTCTGGCAGTTTGCAGCTGAGACTTTCCCATCCCTGCATACATCCAGAAACAATGGCTTCTTCCACGAGAGCAGTTTCCATTTTTGGCTAATTTTTCTTGTCCCCTCTGAAGAACCAGATTCTTTTCAGCCTGTGAATCAATCAGCAACTGATAGGCTAGAAATTCTTCACTTTCTCACCAGGAAATTCTTGCCTTGCCCCATCATCTTTCAAATTAACTGTGTTTCACCACTGTCCTATATTCCATGGAGTAACCTTTTCAGTGACAGACTCAGAAATAAGGCCAAAATTTGAGTATACTGTATGCATGAACCTAATTCCCATAAATACCACTCCTCAAGAAAAAATGAATGAGTTGCTTCAGTAAAACCACTCATGTGGTAAAACAGTAAATCAAATGGACAAAAACTTTTGGACATAAAGTGGATGGATTGAAGTCATAATATTAGAGAACTTTATTGTACTCTGTTGCCTCATGAGTAGCAAAGAATTTCAAAGAGCAACACTTTTTTTGTTGCCTCACCTGAAATGTATTTGTTATGCCAAACTTACTAATGCTCAAAGAGCCCAGACTCAGTTTCATGCATATACACCAAAAAATGATTGAACCTGCATTTTTCAAACATAACAGACCCACTGTACGTTTTATGGTCAAGCTTACACAGTTGCATTTGCCATGTGTCTGCAGACACTCAGATGATACCACTAGAGTGTATAGTACTTTTCTTGTGGCTGTTTAGAGTTCTGAGACATTAGGAGAGAAATATTTGTCAATCTAATTCATTTTTGCTTGCTGTGAACAGCTGCACTTTTATTTCATCAGAGGATTACCTCAGAGTGATCCCCTATAGACAAAGCTTCAAGAGAATCCATGAAAGCTAACCATGTACCAGAAAGAAAATTGTCTCCATGATGGCACAGGCTCAAGCAATACAGATCATTATTTAAAAGGATAAAAAAAGAAAAAAAGCCATCTTATGGAAGCCACACAAGGCAGCCGGGTAAGGAAAAGTCATCACAGAACCCCATTGCTCTTCTCCAGGTTCTGGAGTTCATCAGTTCCTCCAGAAATATGGGTTTTGCTGCAGCCGTCGTTCAAAGTTCTGGTACCAGTTTTGCACCTGTGACAAAGGTACAAAGGTCTCTGCTGGATTCGGCACCATCTGAGACTGATTCACGGCATAGCTCATGATGTAGTTTAGGAAACTCTCGATCATCTTCTGCGTGAACTCCATGTATGAGCTCATGTTGCTGGGATCCCCTATGCTGGAGCTGTTCCGGATCACATCCAGGGTTTCCACTGCTATGCCAATCTGTGCAGTGTGAGAAGCAGTCTGGCCGAACCCCAGGGGCCCGACTGTGGTTTCGTTTGGCTTCATCTTCGAGATCTTGAAGATGGCCGATGGCTTGTCATTGGATATGTGACCGAGACGCATCCACTGGGGAGGGGAATTTGGGTCTGGCCAGCTGAAGTACACTGGAGGTAAAAAGAAATGAGGTCATCAGAGGGGACTCACCTACACTAACATTCATCATGTAAGTATTACCTGAAACCAGGGTGAACCATTAGGTGAAGAGCATAATTGGTTTCATAGGAGCAATAAATGAACAGATGTAGAGTGATGTGCATGACTCACCTGATCCTCCCAATCCATCAGGGAAGGGCTGAGTTCCAGTAAGGAACACAACAACATGGTTAATATTGTCAGCATCAGGAATTGTGCATAGGAAATGTGTTTCATCCATTTGCTGAAACTCGGTTGACGCCTGGAAGGAAAACACATAGGTTGATGTCATAAAAACATAGGGCAATGATAAAAATACATATGGGCTCAACCAAACACTGATTGTCTTACTTCTACCCTGGAGGTCTAAGTCATATAGTGAGCCCACATCCTTGGCAGCTATAAACTTAGGCTCCATTAATGAATACCAACTGCTGGCACCAAATACATATAAAATAAGCAATGCATCATCTTGCAAGCCACACTTGAACCAAGGCTTATGATTGACACAAGAATGGTACTCCTCACCTCATGTGACCATCAAAATCCATCCTGTGCCAATACAAAGGCCCAAGGAACTGCATGCCATACAAGGACTAAAATACCTGAATTGTCATAATTTGAACACGTAATATCTATTCAATACACAAATACGCCAAGATACAACGCAAGGCTAAAATAAGCAAAAATGGCCTTAGTGGCGCGAGTCGTATGTAAAGTGGTAGGCGCTCAGAAAAGGCGCTCAGTAGGAAAATTTCTCATAGTCATGGCCTCTAGTTTCGAGAGTCTGATATCGAAAATTCCTGCGAAATTTTCCTATCGGTGGGCCGAGGGGGGGCATGAAACGCCTTGAGCCCATCCTTGCCCTTTCTGAGTACGCCACTGAATATCTTATGGTAGGCCAATTCGCCACGAGATGCCTTAGCACTAGGATGAAAGTCATTTCTTTGATCGTACCAGTCTCCCAGAAGCGAGGACCCCGAACATACTCCCGGCCATTGCGCTATCTGTAACTTCAATATTTCCTTGGAGGGAATAAATCCTTGGACTGCAGTCTAGTCTTTTCTAGCTCTTTCCCTCTTGGAGATCATGCCTTTCTCAGCACGCAGGGAGGTCTGCTTATTCAGGTTGCAGGATCTTGCAACTGTCGGTGTGCGATGCAAGCAAGAAGAAAATTCAAAATGTCGTAAGATAATCAAAAGCTTGGCTTTTAAGAGCGATTTTCTTCTGTTTTTAAATTTATTTTAAACTATTGAATCCACGAAGAAAGAATGCTACATTTCGGAAACTGCGGTATTTGGAAATCCTGGGACTGTGCAACCAGATTGACTCAGGAGATCATGGCGGCTGCCCGGTGGGAAACGTGACTCCGTTCAGCGCTGAAGTGCTTCATGGCGCCAGACAGTTCGAATGTTTTTCTTCATACTCTTTCCTCCCCTGCTCTCATGGGTTTTGATTTCAAATTCATGTCCCGCTCTTTGTGTGGCTTTTGCTTCACGCAGTGAGCTGGAAAGATACACAGGATATCACTAAATTGGACACATTAGGCTAATAATTGTTATTGAAGTTGGTTTAATTATTCAATTTTGCAGTTCGTAGACTAGTTAGGCTCATCTTTATGAAAAAATTCATATGAGAAATGATCAAATACTTGGCTGACATTCCACAGCTGGAACATTGAGGAACCTACCAATCGTATCAGGCTTCTTTGAGTATCAATGGATTCTTGGCCAAAAGCACCTTGGAAGCTTGCTAAGACCCAGACAAGGGCTGGAGAAATGATTTTCTGTCAGTCAAGTTGAAGGAGAGGAGGCACAATGATTTTCTGAGATCTACACCTATTAGTCATGTAAAAGTTTGATGATGTCTGAGTCAGTAATTAAAATGGTAGAAAGTGTAGGTAATCATATCATGAACACCTTCCAATTTCAAGTTTAAGGCTAATTGTGATTTTTTCTTGAATAAGGCCATTTTTCTACGGCTTGTCCCATCGCTTGTATTCTTTGGAGGAGGACTAAATGCACTTTCAGAGCAATTTGCATATCCTTAAAGAATTTCCTTCATTGGGAGGGCATTGACCCAGGCAAAGTTTGAATAATGACTTTGGCTATCTTAATTAAGTGTCACAGTTACCAAATATACATTGCTTATAAGAATAAACTAATTCATTAGGATAATCATGGATACTAAGCCCCTGACTATTATAACTTATTGATCAATTTCATTTTCTGTCTGTGTCTACTTATAGGTTCTCCAAGTTTGCAGTCTAAGAATGGAAACTTAGGGTAACAAATGAAATGCATATCTCCTTAAACAAAAAAGACTAAATCATTCATGAATATAAATGGAATTGAGCTGTTATGAACTTGAAATGCTGCATAAAAATAAGTCATAAGATCTTTGGAAAAATATAGCAAAAGCCCGAATTCAATTGTCTCATTGGCAAATGGTAATGCATCAAGTTCTCTATTGGAAGATTCTGCATGAATTCCCACATCAGGCAGCAGCACAACAAATACTCTCCAAATGTTTAATTGTTGTCTGGGAGGATACCCATGGAATAGTAAGAAAAAGTCCTTTCACTTTATTGTAAGTGGAGGACTACCACCACTATTTGAATGACTTGATGAAACATTCTTTCATCCTTCCTGCATGCATGCTGAAATTGAAATTGATGACAGTCTGTACATAAATCCAGTTGGCCAGAGAATTTTCAAGCCTCAGCATTGAAAGTAGCTGCACTATGCATAGTTGAGCCTTGTTCATATATATGTTACACTTCCTTTCTGATTACCACGCACTAGTTTGTTATCAAAAGCAGATAAGGGAAGTGGAGGTCACTGGGGATATGCCTTCTGCAAATATTGCCTGTCATATCTAAAATTACATAGAAACTTTTCCACAATGGACTAATTTTTCTGAGGCCGTAAATCTCTGCTTTCCTAAGCAATATGGATTTATGGGAAAGTCTGCTACTGTTAAAGCCATTTGGAATTGGAAGCATTCTGAGCACCTACTCAGATTATCTATTTTATTAAGTGTGGTTTCACTTTGTCTCCAACTCCTCAGTAATCCCCTCAATGTTGAGGGCAATGAGGGGAACAATGCAGATGGTACAAATCTGTGTTACTGTAATCCTTTGATGTCTCTGATTACAGCTTGAAATTGAACATTGAAAATACTTTATCTTCACCGGAAGAAAATTGGTTTCGTGCATGCCTGTGATATCAAAGCCCAAGTTTTTTTTTAATGGGCTTTCCCAGGGGGGGATATGAATATAAAAATTTCCTTTAAGCTTACAATTGCGATATCTGCGCGACGTGTGCTCGGCGAGCCTTTTGGTATGGTCTTCGATTCTGTCGTTAATTCAGAAATTCAATCGATGTCGCTAGTGCATATACACGAAGTCGTATATGCACGAGCGCCATCTCTATCGAATTTCTGGATGAACTATAAGATGGGAACTGATAAATGTGCCCCGCATCAGCGAATACGATTTTCGACAAGTTTTAGCGGAACGTTCCCTTGGGAGGTTTGCCTGTCATGACGTTTGAAATTTGTTCGCCGTTTTCTTCGATGGATTTCCGAATTTTTCTGAGACGGCCTGGTTGCTCGCGCTGTCGCATTCGTCGATTGAAATGGGATGCGACGTCTTTCGGAGGAAACATTCCATTGATGTATGGTCTATTGTAGTCTTTTTTTTTTTTGTTCCTTAATCTCCGAGATCGCTTTGTTTTATTTTAAAGGGAAACATTTCCGCCCTTTGATATTCCCTGGGAGAGGATGCCTTTGATGGCTGTACTCCTGCAGCGTTTTGCGATTCTCTGAGGTAGACAAGTTCGTCTTGGAAATAGAGCCCGAGACGGAGATGTTCCATCACATCGGCTCTAACAGTCGCCCCAGTGACCTCCCTCCCTAGACCACGGGCCTTCTCCGTTCACACTATGCACACCGCAGTGCCCTCCGTCTCTTGTGGAGCCACGTGACCCCGCTCGTAGGACCTGGGAGTCCATCCATCCGGCAGGGCGCAGCAGATTCCACGTGCGGGAGAGGCAGGAACGGAACGCCTCGTCATCTGTTGCGCGTATCACGCTCGGATCCTTGAGACACCCTCCGCTGGCAATCGCCCGCTTCTAGTTTTCACTCGTAGGTGGCAGACCCATCTGTATAGATGCGGCGATGCAACGTGGCAACCCTGACCCGCGGTCGCTTGCATTCGACTGTTTCTCGAATCAGGGCCGTAAATAGAAATGGGCTAAGGGTGGGCGCCTGCCCGGGGGCTCCGGAATGGAAGGAGGCGAAAAAGGGAATGGAAAAGTCGGTCGGTCCGCCGGCAGGATTATTACGGCCAGGTGTTACCCCTGGGAACGTCTGGCCTCCGCTGGGCGATGAACCTAGGATGGAGAGGGCTGCCGCGTGCACGGGAGAAGGTCCGCAGTCTATGAGAAGGGGAATGATTGCGCCTTTTTACGATATCCGCTTTCTTTCCGCATCCTTTGCGCGCCACCGGCACTGTAGATAGCAGTTTTTCAGTTCCCGATGACATATTAGCAAACATTTCGCAAGAATTTTTTTTTCTAGGCTGGCAATGGTTTGGTAAATTTTTACTAACCAAATTTTTATTTGAATCGGCATGTGGCTACCACTGATCTCTGCCTTCGCTTGGAAGTTTCAAGTTCTAAGTGCATGCCAAAAGCTGAATGAAGCTGGGCACTTTTCACAGCAGCATCAGAATTCACTTTAATCCATAATATGGATGTTCCATACATAAATCGACTCCATTGGTATTCCCCAGATTTTTCTGTAAGTTCGGAAGAAAGGCTTTTCATATTTATACTTTGAAGGACCAATCTGCTCAGATATTGAAGTTAGGAGTCTTTTATTTTTGCTGACATCCGATAGGTTCAGTCTTTGAAGTCTTTGAAGGTCGTGAAAAGTCTCTCTTCATACCTTCATGGGACAAATCTCAAGCATACAGTTGGAGCAAAGTCATGTTGCGACTCTGTACATCGATAAGATCACACTTTTGGCATTGCATTTTGACTTGAGGCTTCTGTAGCAACAATTCATTCATGTGCATTGCATTCAAATCCAGAAAATTGAGAAAGGGAGACCCTAAGGTACTTGTTTTTTTAAATAAAATGTGTTTCCTTTTTTGGAGTAACATATCCTTGAAGGAATGGCTTATCTTCAGAAGCCAAAACTGATGGCAGTCTTAACCTTTCAGCATGAAACCATAATTTTGCAATAATTAATTGTGGAGTCGAGCATTGCATGTCTTCGAGACATGTCTGCCACGATGGTGTTGCCACTCTTTGTCACCTTGCCATGTGAGATACATGTAATATCCTCTCTGGCTGTCATAAAGAAAAACATGATGGCAATACACACAAGTCATCTTATTTATTATTTTGCTGAGTGAAATAATTACCCTTGAGTCTTCCTTAACCGTTCAGGTCCTAGCTGAAATGCGTGCCATGTATCTAGCTGCATTCCTGATGATGAGGGGGGAGCCATTTTTTTATGTCTGCCATTCCTGTAGTGACCTATGGAAAATGATAGATATTACAATCTGTATATATTTTTTGTCATGGTAACCTTGTTTTTATTTGAAAAATCCTTCCTCCATCCACTGGACCAGAATTTCCTTGTAGCTGTTTTCCTAAAGCTGAATTCAGGAGAAAATTAGATCCTGCATGAAAAGTACTAAGGAATTATTTCAGGCTAGACTTGCCTCATTAGCAATTTCTCCTCCTCTGTCCCATGATACCATTACTGAGTTTGTATCTCTTTGTGAGATTCCTTTTTTTTCATCCAATTTTGATATTTCCATATATTACTCCTCTTATTTATATCATGAGAACTAATGAAGCTTCATTGATGATGATAGGGGTGTGGCATCTTGTTATAAAATAGTGTATATAGTGACAATTTGGCTGTTTAGTTTTTAATTCCTTTCATCTTCCTCGTGTGGGCTTTCTATCATTCTAAGTAACAGAGGTTGCAACATGGCTTTTATCTTGACTTCACTGTAGCCCCTGTTTCTGGTCACATGATGAGCCTGTGGGTGACATTTCTCTTATGGAAATGTATTGTCATCATCCCTACATCTAAGAACAGCTTATCCAACTGAAACTAAATGATTTTTTGTGTAAAAATTTCTTAGAACTTGTTGATTCTTATCACAAAAATGCTATTAGGGTTTTTGCTTGATGGCTCTGTGATATAACATGCTACAAATAAAATTTCTGGATTCTGAAAATAAGTAAGTGTCATGAAGTCATTCAGATCATTGGGAGGTGGTACTCATCAGGCTGCCTAGGGCCAGTTTTCATTCTTGCTTGGAATAAATGCCTTATCTCTGTGTGAGAGTGATATGGATGTGACAATGCCTCACCTGGAAAGCAAGAAAAGAGCAGAGTCATGTCCAACACAGGTCATTATGGAACTCAGGGTAAATTATAATCAGATCTCCAGTTTGTGGAAAGAGAAAGAGAGAGAAGGAACTTGAAGATGAACAGAATGTGGCATCAACCTGAGTCAGCATGATTTCACCTGCCTGGAAGGTATGTGACTTGGAGCTCCCCGATTGGCTGGAACCCCTGCCCAGGGAAAGGAACGTGTGCCATCATGATTGGTTGAAACGGTGGCATGGAAAAGCAACTTGGATCCTGTATACAGGTGTCTGTCTTTAGCTGTCTATATTCTGATGCACCCTTTGGCAGCACTGGGAGACCTGATGATGAAATGCTGGGAGGAGAAAATGGTGGAAGAGCTTCTATATTATACCACTGAGAATAGGGATAAGATATAAAAGGCTGAGAGATGGGATGATTGGGCATTTATTGGTAGAAGTTGGACAGAGTAACAACATGATGAAGCATGACTTCAATGACTTGGGGGATTCAGCATCACCAATCCTAGCTCACAGAAACAGGACCTGCTACGAAGTTCCCTAGAGGGAAAGTTTCTTTTGGCCCTGGTGTTCATATAGATTGCTTGAGCAAAGAAGTAAGAATTCTTCCTTGGTTGTGTTGTGTTCAAAATTCTAGAAAGTATTTTATATTCTTGTTCACATTTGTACTCCCAGGGTTCCCTGTGCATCAGAACCATGGCACCTGGCATTATGAGTTCCCTGTTCAAGGCAGAAGGAGAGACCGGCACATGGAAGCCATTCGTCTTTTTCTTATTTCCTGTTTCCTATGCTGCATTCATGCTCTTTGCTCAGCATTTGCTTAACTACCAAGATGTGAATGCTCCATCTGCATTCACATTGATCGTTTCCTGTTTTGGCCTCGCCCTCTTCTTGGCGATTCGATACCCATGCTCCGACGAGCATGGAAGGAATAGGATGGATTCGTCCTCCCTGGTGAGCCTGGTCCCATATTTCATCATGCATGCCTCGACGTTGCTGACGGGAACAACCATCTTGATGGACATCCCCTTGGTCGGCTTCTTCCCTCTGCTGAACTCGATGCCAGCTTTCTTCTACATTTATGATGGAATCTTGTCTCGCAATCTGAACGTGAAAACGTTCATCTTTCCGGCTCTGGTCATTGTGACCAGCATCCCCATTGGCATTATCCAAGCGAGGCAAAATGGGATCAGCTATTTCTGGATCCTGCTCTTCCAGGTCTGTCTTGTAAGCCAGGTGTTCTACGGCCGCATGGCAGACACACGAGTCGGAGAGATGAGCCGCCTCTATTACTGCTTCATCTTCACCATCCTCACCACACTGCCCATCAGTCTTCTCACATATGACATCTTCCACTTCTCAGCCTTTTTTGTCTGCATGGAGAGCTCCACCTTCCTGGGGCTCATCTTTGCATGCGGGATCACATACGCCCTTTATGCGACAACCGAAAAAGCCTTCCAGTCCCACCGATTCTACAGCAAGATCTTGTTTCTGACTCAAGCCGTGACACTTTTCATCTCCCTCTTCACCTTCCCATACATGCCAGAACCATTGGAAGCTGTTCTATTGATTGCCAACGTGGGCTGCATTGCTTTCATACCGGCGGCAAAGTCGCGTGATGATGCTGATCCTCCCATTTGTTGATTGAGGCTTGTTTGCACTGCATATTTATGTTCACACTACACACAGGGCTTCTCTGTATCATATCTTTTTGTGAATTCTGGTGTTATGATGATGCACTCTTAAAAGTTTATAGGCATTCTCGTCCCTGAAATTCAGGCACCTGTCATTGCAAAATTTTGGCAAAGTCAAATGAAAAGGTATTATGCCTGAAGTTCAAGACAAACTGCCTGAAAATTTTAAAGAGTATTCTGTAGTTTTTGAATTTGTCTTCTTACACTTTCACCTGTTGCAACCATCTTCTAGATATGGAGTTATAGTTGGATGAGTGAGAATGAAATAAAAGATTCATCATCTCACAGTTGTGAAATTCTTTTTCTTCCCAGCACATTCACAACTTCATAATAAAAAGAAGTTTTGGCTGCATCCAGGCAACTACCTAAATGCCTTTTTCTATTATAATACAGGTGATTAAAAAAATAGAAAAATATGAATTTTGAGCCTGGTGAGATAGTGATGCCAGGTGATGTCCTTGTCGACCTTGACATTACTCCTAGTGAGTCACGGTTCATCATAGGGCCTGGTCTGAGGAGAGAGGACAATAAGATCTTGGCTTCCAAGAGTGGCATCCTCCAAAAGAAAGAACCTCACATATTCTGGGTCAATTCTAAGGAAAGAAGGGTGAGGTTTACATGCGAGACAAGTGAAAAATCATCATGGAAAAATCATGGATTAGTTGACAGAGGTTCCCTTGTTCTAGTATGTCCCTGTACGTGGAGATGCCATAATAGGGATCATCATACAGAAGGGTGCTGATACCTACAGAGTGGACATTGGGGCAAGTGAACCGGCATCTCTGTCTGTTCTGGCCTTTGAGGGTGCAACTAAGAAGACTAAGCCAATCCTTCAGGTAGGTGACATGAATCAGAAGGAAATCAAGAGCCAGTCTAGTGTTAAACCACTCTGCACTTCATAATGAGGATATTGGATGCAAGGAATGAAGATCAGACTTGTTACATTGAAGAGAGTGGCCTTGTAGAATAAATAAAATAAAATTTCATTCTGGAGAGGTTACTAATTTTGTCTTGGGGAGGACCAAGTGTGGGATGTGGCCCTTTTCCTTGCGGAACCATGCGTATTGATGCTTCAAGTTTTTAAATATAAGTTGTTCTACCTTTGGCATTTGCATCATATTGATGTTCCTAGAATTTGAATGGTTTTCATTGCAATAAAAAGAAAGGTTTGTTCCTGTGATATTTTTCAAAACTTGCCATCAGATAATTTTATCTTTTCAGTGAAATTGATTCCAATTTGACCATGTCTTTCTCTTGTGGTAAAATTGTGAAGATATCTAAAGAGGTATTGTGTTTCTGTAGATCGGTGACTTGGTCTATGCCCGGCTCCTGGTGGCCAACAAAGACATGGAGCCCGAGCTAGTGTGCATGGACTCTGCAGGGAGGAAGCGAGGCCTGGGTCCCCTCGAAGAGGGTTTCCTCATCACTTTGCCTCTCCACACTGCCAGAAGGTACATGTGGTTTCTGCTTTTGCATCATTTGACAGTTTCCTTGGGATGAAAGGGTTGGTTTAAAATGGAGCTATGCAGTGCTAATATGTCACCCTTTTACAGGGCATGCATGTTGATGATGATGGAGTGGGGTTGGAGTGATGCAAAACATAATATTTTGCAAATACTCAATGCTACAGTTGCTACCTTGGATTATGACTGTTTAACATGGAGTTTGCTTTGCATTCTATTAGCCAATCCTTGTAACTTATGCACGAAATATGCAGTTATTAAATGAACTAAAATGAGCTGATGCAAACATCATGATTTCTGTTGGTGGAAACATAGTGTTAAGATATTAACACTTTCAACCCCTGTGATCTCATTGTGTCATGTGCCCAGCCCATACCATGATGTGCATGGGACTCAAATTGTTAATTATGCCCAGTCCAAAGGTTCAGAAGGATCCAACTCTGAGGATGGGAGAGGATTTCACCTTTTGATGTATTCCCTCCTTCCACATGTTGTCTTTGTGTGTTGTGTGTTTCTCTGTCCTGATACTCAAAATTGCCTTCATGCTAATGTTCATCTCTTTACCATTGCTGAAAAAGGCCAAAAGGTAATTTTTTCTGAAGGGTGTAGGATGTGATGCATGCCTTGCATGCTCTGACAAAACACCATTAACCATTTTCAGTCCATTTTATTTGTAACGCTGTGGACATTGTCGAACAATGTCCGCCAACGGACTGCAAAGGGTCAATGATACTTCTTCCCTGCACATTTCTCTTGTGTATGAATGTGGATATTCCTACATGAACACATGTATGGTTCTGCATGTGGAACTTATGTTCTGACTAGGGTAAGTGCTGTGAATGTTGGCATTGGGGGTAATCTCAGCACTTTGCGATCGTCAACATTCTACTTCCACTATCATTCCCCTTGGCATGGGTAGACAAGTGTTCTCAAATGGTGGGATTAATGTTAACATGTGCTTGGAACAGTCACATTTGCTGTTGTAGTTTCCTTATGTTGCCTGCCTTTTCTAAGAGCACTCCAAAAAGCATGGTAAATCTTGTGATTTTGCTAAGCTTTTGCGCATTCTGTTCTTCTCTTCCATGCTTGGTTTTGTTTTATCAAGTCATTGCATTCATTTTTGAGTCCATCATAAATGACAGTGAAACATAGGTGTGCTGAAAGTCCTGATAGGGTGGTACTGACTATGCCTGCAAGTGTGTCAAGATTGCCAATGTCTCACCTAAATTCACCTTTGACCCAGGTTCTTGGAAAGTAAAGGACACTCAAGGTGTACAGTACAAGGAGGTTTATAATAAAGGTATGACCCAACCCAATTTGAATGAGGAAGCTCCATTACAGAAACCACCAGGCAAGGTGGAAGAGAAAAATTTGCTTAGGGAGAGTGCTGACATTCACAGCACTCACCCTTGTTGGTATTGAAAGGAGGTGAACTTTTCTTTTTTTGAACTCTGATGTCATAGCAGTTATTGATACTAAGCTCTGAGTAGATGGTATTCAAATGAGTTCAGACGGTATTCAAACAACTGTATTGATTATATTCACACGAATATGAGGATCTGCCCGCCAGGTTGTTGTCCAGCGATTGGCCCCTATTGCACCTGCTGGGTCGAGAGATCTCATACGAAGCGGCAGTGGGACTGAACGGACGCGTGTGGATCAAGGGCCGGACGATCAAGGACACGTTGGCCGTGGCGACGGCACTCGAAACGAGCTCCGAGTGTCGTTCGGAGTCGGAGATGCGGTGCCTGGTGGAGAGGATCCTTGCATGCAGAGCAGGTGTTGCTCAAGAAGACTGAGGCACCTGTTTAGTTTAAAAGTGAAAACTTGAATGTGACTCATCTCTTTAGTGATGGCAGGGGGGGCTGACCTCGTTTCATTTCACGAGTAAATTTCAAAGGACTTCTTTGTCATCTGAGAGGTCTTTACATTTTTTCCCACACTGTGACTTGGTGTTTTTGGCGTGGATCCAATTTTGGATCTGATTTTGCCTGACAATGCAGAATTCAACTCTGCAATTTCAGGCCAATACCTTTCACCCAGTACTGATGTGGGGAAATCCCTCATGCTGTATGGGATGACTAAATGTTTGAAATACATGGATTTTGCTCCTTGGATTGAATTTTCTGTGCACTTGGTTGGTAATTCCTCAATCTGATTGTCAAGAAATGGACATTCTCCTTTTCTAATTATGAACATTTGTGGGAAAGTTGAAGTATGCATGAAAGAACATGTTTTGGAGGTAAATTTCAGTTGTTGCATTTTCCAGAGATACTCTATGCATGATTTGAGTCATCAGTTCATACAGGAGTTCTTTGCACTTGATTTTCTTCATTTCTGTCTCTTGGGAGTTTCAAGTCTCATCCTCGGTCTGCAGGAACCCCAGCCCAAGAAGCTGAAAGGCAACCTCGACTCCGTCCGTTCTCCCTTCCCGACGGGATCCGGACGAGCTCCCTCGAGACAGATGGTATTAATCGCCCACAAAGACAGTTCTGTAAATTTTGTGACAGTCCTATTGGCTTCTACTTTGTCTTCCCTTGTGGGACGAGGAGTCGACCCCTCGGTTCTCTCGTTCGGACTCTACGACACAGATGGCACGGTTCGACACAGTTCAGGACTGTCCCTGCTGTGTTGAACTGTTCCCCATGGAATGCCTCCCCAGATGTTTCCTTCTTTTTCATTTTGCATAGCTTCTAAAGAAACATCTTTCCTTCCTCTTCCCTCCCAGGCAGTCACCAATGCCATTTCTGTCTGACGTTTTCTCTAGAATATGAAACAAGCTGGGCAGAACCCAGTTAAGTCGTGACATAGTGCGCCATGTCAGTGCCATGTCAGTATGTATGTATGTGTGCAGAGCATCCTGTGTATGGGTAGCACTCTAAAAAGTCTCAGTGGTTGTGCATTGCTCACTAATCAACCAATGCATTCACTTAGCAGAAGGGTGAAAGTTTGAATTTTTAAACTTCATTTATGCAGTCTGCACTCAATTCGAATTGCAAAATCGCCTACTAATGTTAAGCAAATTATGAAGAACCTCACGGGAGGAAGTAGATTTTACCTGGCAGCCAATAATGATAATAATATTAATAATGAACATTTGACGAGTGCCAGCCATTTTTCAGCGATCTCCATTTTCTATTCAGGAACATTAAGCAACCTGCAAATAACGTTATTCGCAGGTTGCTTACTGTTGAGCGACGAAAGTCGAAAGCCAAAATCGTTTTTTTTTTTGCAGCAGGTTTATTGGCATGCAGAATTTTTATGCGAGCACACTCCCACGTCTCAAGATGCATAAATATGAGTTATTGCGGCGTTCCCACACGGATCTTGAGCAACGGGAGTGTGTTTCGAGTGAATTAAAGTGAATTAAATTAGAGTGAATTTTTTCCTTCAGTCTGTGAGTCGTTCGGGTCGCCCTTTTCGTGTCGTTCGGTGTCGTTCGCGTTCCCACACGGCCTCGACGCGACCCGAGGGACCCAGAGACAGAAGAGATGGGGCGGGGCGGGGCGGGGCGGGGATTATTTCATGTCGAAGGCTTTGCAGCAGTACTTCTCCGGGTGAGCGGTGCAGCACAGGATCACGAGGAGGAACAGGGCCAGAGCTGCAATGAGAAATTATTCCGTCGCTTTCTTTCGTTCCCGGCTCGAAAACGGCGTTTTGGTTGATGTCACAAATCTGTCACATAAGGGGAATGTGACAGATTTGTGACATCAACCAAAAATTATGTTCGAAAGATGGCAAGAGAAAATTATATTCATGGATAAAAAAAAAAGTGAGATTCCCCTCCCTTAACCTGAGGTTAACCGACCCCTCCCTTAACCCGGGGTTAAATGACCCCTCCCTTAACCCGGGGTTAACCGACCCCTCCCTTAACCCGGGGTTAACCGACCCCTCCCTTAACCCGGGGTTAACCGACCCCTCCCTTAACCCGGGGTTAAATGACCCCTCCCTTAACCCGGGGTTAACCGACCCCTCCCTTAACCCGGGGTTAACCGACTCACCGGCGATCGACGGCACCGTGACGTTGGCAAAGAGGCGCGCCTCCCTCCCCGAAATCACCTTCACGATCACGGGCGGCTCGGTCGCGTTGGCCTTCAACCTCCCTGGAAGTGGAGAAGAAACCGATCGGTCACGCGTCCGGTCACGCGAGCGGTCACGCCCACTCACCCGAAGGAGGCAGGTCGGTCCTGACATCCCCCACGACATATATCCCCTCGGGGATCCCGGTGTTCCCGTCCATATCGTCTCTCACCGCGCTCAGGTTCACGCCCCTGGCGAATTCCAGGTTGAAGTCCGAGACGATCGGCCAGGCATCGTTTCCCTTTCGGTTGGACAGGCAGACTGTCCTCAGGTAGAAGGCCCTCTCGCTCGTGCCTGCCAGGGCCGCCGCCATCTGGAATATTGTGCATAGTGTGCATATTGCGCACGTTGCGCATATTCTGCAAACTGCATAAAATACACATCGCGCATATTTTGCAAATTTGTGCATATTGCGTACGTTGCGCATATAATGAAAATTGCGCATGAAATACACATTGCGCAAAAAAAATAGCGCAAATCGTGCACATCGTGCCGACCGACGACGGAAGAACCACGCACGCCGGTGTCGATCTTGGCGCAGAGGCCGTCGAACTCCGGCGACCCGATCGTGGCCAGGCCGTTCCTCCAGGGGATGTTCACGATGTGGAATCCCCGGATCGGCAACTGCACTGCGAAGGGAGGAAGAGGCGAGGAGTCGCTCAGTGGGAGACCTCGCCCGGCGCGAGGACGGTCGTTTCGCGGTCGCGAGGCGATACCTATATTAGCGTTTCCCGCGACCTTCGTTGGTGTCGTGCCGGCAGTCGTTGGTGTCGTGCCGGCAGTCGTTGGGGTCGTGCCGGCAGTCGTTGGGGTCGTGCCGTTAGCGGTTGGGGTCCTGTCGGTAACCGTTGGAGTTGTGTCGGTAACCGTTGGAGTTGTGCCGGTTGGTTTCTCTGGATCTTCCGAGGGACCTGGAACCCAAAGAATAATTTTTTTTCATGGAGGTTTACACATATCTCCTGATTATTTGGAACTTTTTTTGAGCGCCTCCAGAGTTTCGCTCTGTCCCGCCAATTGAGCGCAATCTCTCTTAAATATATAAATTTGAATTGAAAAAAAAATTATATGAATAATAAATTTAAATTAAAAAAAATTGCAAGATCAATGAAATTGAAATGCGTTAGCACAAGTTAACCGCGGTTAACCTTCGTTACAGTCCGTATCCTGAATCCTTTTTGCAGCGGCATTGCCCCCCCCCCCCCCCCCCCCCCCCAACCCCCCCCCCCAAGAGGGGGCATCGAGGGGGTGGGGTCGTAAAAAGGGGAAGATGTTGAGTTCAGAAAAATTCGTCGAGTTCGTCAATATAGGTCTCATTTGTCGCCATCAGCTTTGACACTCGTCTTATGGGCCTCATTGCCCTTTCACTCTTTGGCAGTCAATCGCATGCACAAGGATTCAGGATATCGACGATAACAAAGTTTAATCGAGGCACCAACCTTGGTTAACCGAGGTTAATCGAGGCACCAACCCAGGTTAACCGAGGTTAATCGAGGCACCAACCCAGGTTAACTAATGTTGGATTTTTGTCACGGCACGTCGGCGTGCACGAGTATGCTCAGGCCATTTCAGCTCGTATGCGTATAACGTCGCGAAATTTTGCAAATGGCGGCCATTCGCAAATGAAATCGCTGGCCCAAACCCCGGCAAGGCCAGCGATCGCTCCTCTCCGTTTTCGCAAAGAGGGAGGAGGGCGTTATGGTGCATGACAGGCAGAAGCCGGGAATGACTCGACGGTCGTTCCCGGGGCATTCGCGCCCCGCGGCTATAAGGACGAACATCTCCAGATTCCCCGCCGCTATTTCTGCTCCAACACTCCGCTAATCGGGCCGAATTCCTCGCGCGAACGAACGAGGGCCGTAAGCACATTTTGCGAACAGTGATAACACCGATAATAAAGTGGAGATGTCCATAGAAGATACCTGGAGCCTGGACGACGTCATTCGCGGAGACGGGCGAAAGGAGAGCTGAAGCGAGGAAGAGCAGAGCGAGATGAAGGGTCTTGTGGGCCATTCCCACTCGATAGCAGCTAGCGGAACCTTCTCACCAGTCCTCCAAAGAATCACTGGACGTTATCGGCCGTCCTCCCCCGCTCTCGGACTTCTCATCGATTGAAAATTTGATCAGGTGCAGTGGTGCAAGGGCGGCTGCAACCTCCCACCTTCCTCCCACCTTCCTCCCACCTTCCTCCCACCTTCTTCCTCTGGATCCGAGTCCGTTCTTTCCTTACGCGTACTGTTGATGTCTCGAGTAATGAAAGGCGTCAAATTCGCCTGGTAACTATAATATCCATCTCCACGCATCTCGTGTTGTTCAGTCAGTGAACATTGGGGGGAA